TACATCAATGTCTACAGCTGTACTGTCGTGAAATAGACGCGGTTTGGTGTTACATCAAACTACAGCTGTACTGTCGTGAAATAGACGCGGTATGGTGTTACAGCAATGTCTACAGGTGTACTGTCGTCAAATAGACGCGGTATGGTGTTACATCAATGTCTACAGGTGTACTGTCGTCAAATAGACGCGGTATGGTGTTACATCAATATCTACAGGTGTACTGTCGTCAAATAGACGCGGTATGGTGTTACATCAATGTCTACAGCTGTACTGTCGTGAAATAGACGCAGAATTGGGTTACTTCAATGTCTTCAGGTGTAGTGTCGTGCCATTGACACGCACGTTAATATGCTAACTGTCGGGATCAGAAACATGTGTTTGAATTCGAACAAGGAGGATATCCTTCAATGCTCATCAAAAGATTGACTTCAAACTCTTCAATGTTCATCATAAGTGTCTTGTGGCGCTCTAACTTCCGTTTGAATTCTTTCAGTTCACGATGTTGGCCATCTGGTGCTGTGACAACGACGGCCGGTTCTAATTATTGGGACTAAATCACGCGCCTCGCTTATAGTCTTCAGTAGCCTAAAGGTGTGTCACGTGCAAGCAGGTGTTTCAACAAGCCAAAGTGTGTAGCGTAGTTATAGTGATCGAGATGCTGTGGTTTAAAATAACGAAGCATAAGAAAACGATTAAACTTTTTGTCAAATTTAATAAAACCAGAATCAATAACCATCTTTGCATACAGACGAACTCAACTAATAGACATACTTTAAAACACTAGGTATCGATTGGGCATACTGTTTTCTCAAGAAATGGTTGAAATGAGATTTTGTGGCTATTTTTATAATACACATTTAGCAAAATCATGGCTGGGCCTATGATCTTCCTGAAGAAAAAGCAAGACATGACCGCGTCATAAAGAAAATAGTAAGTTAAAAAATAGTACCTGTTTTAACCTGTCTGGCGGTCGTTAAGGGGTAAAACAAGGACAGTTCGGGTCGGGGTCATTACACTGGGTCTGAGTTACGACATGCTACAGCTATGGTCGGAGCGTCACAGGAAGGCAGTCTGCAGACTACACACCACAGTCCCCGTTGGCATCCGCAGCGCCCGTACATCCGTTAATGGCAGATCTCCAAGCATAAGTGTATCTTTAATTGCGGGCAATTTAAACACGTACAGTTTCATGTCGAGACATTATTCCTGTTTACTGTATAAGTGCACTGAGAAATAACACATCTCCACCATGGAGTCGCGTATTTAAGTGTCGAGTCTGATAAGCATGGAAGATGCCCGCCGATTAGTGCCAGTGATTGGTCGTGTCTACAGGGAGCTCAACAACCGGACCTGCTGCTTGAGTGCAATATACAAAGATGCTGCTAGACGGATGAAGGCAGGTTAAACAAACAGTAAATCTGATCAATCAGGAGAGAAATATTTCAGCGCAGTGTGAGACCGACGTCTGGAATCTTATGGTTTGAGATCCACCACAAAAGCTCGCTTCTACAAATGTACATGTTTCAAACAAAATTTAGCATAATTTTATTGGTAATTCGTACACCTTTGCAAAATATTTACCTAATCAGCTATAATAGCTTAAGACCAGCAAAATCATTTGATTCATTACATGTATTTATATTAGTCCTGTCCATGTCAGCTTCCATGCTATTTTACGGCGCTTCTTAAAGTATCTCGACGACTAAAACATCTCGCAAATTTACTAAATTCGTTGACAAAACGTTGCTAAATGGACTTTGAAATGAGAGAGATGTTGTGTTTTCATTTCTTATACCCATAACAAGTATATCTAAACTGACCCAGCGATATTTGATACGCCAAACGGAGAAACCACCAGAGAACTACACTGAAAGGCAAAAGAAACGTCATGTGGATGTATCATATAAATATCTTTATTTTCAAAAGCTTATGTATATAAGTAAAGACATCGGAGAAAGTCAGTGTTTGACCCACTTGAAATTAACAGTCTGGGGAATGTTTTTGCGAATTGTGAATTTGGGAAGGCACCAGAAGACATCAAATCTGGGGGGGGGGGGGGGGGGGGGGGGGTCAAAATCAGTACCTGGTGTGGCCACCACGGGCGTTGACTACAGCCATCCAACTGTACATGGAGTGGACTAGCCTGTTGATGAAGGCCATTGGGATATGGGCCCATATCTTCAGGAACGCTACACGCAGTTCTGCTGCAGTTGTCGGCCTTGGGCGTACGTCGTTGAGTCGGCGTTGGATCTCATCCCACAAGTGTTCAATGGGATTCAAATCCGGACTGAGGGCAGGCCAAGGCATGAATTGGATATTGTGCTGCTGGAGGAAGTCCCTGGTGACTCTGGCAGTGCCGGGACGGGCGTTGTCTTGCTGAAAGGTGTGGTTTTGATGACGGGCAAAAAAAGGCACGATATGGGGTCTGAGGACTTGGTCAATGTAGCGGAGAGCTGTGATGGGGGGGGGGACATATAACGGATTCTAGGGGTATGGCAGAATGCAGAGTGAGTGACTAAGTGAGTATAGTTTTACGCCGCTTTTAGCAGTTTACCAGCAATATCACGGTGGGGAACACCAGGAATGGGCTTCACACATTGTACCCGTGTCGGGAATCGAACCCGGGACTTCGGCGAACTCTTTAACCACTGGGCTACCCGACCGCCCCCATAATGCAGAGACGAAGCCGAGAGTAATACTATTCTAGTAATAATTTCGAGAAATCATTTATTCTCTGGTTTTCAATACAGAAATTATTTTCTTGTCACGGGGAGCGTTTCATGGTAAGTGTACCCGCATCTGTAAATAAATAAAGTACATGCGAGCAGCATCTCCAAACAACAATCGTACATCCGGAAGGGGATCGCCTCTTTGTTCAGCTCACTTATGGGCGAACCATATCGCCAAGTGATCTTGCCTTGCAAAACGAAGGTTAAGTGTGCGCTTCAAATTATAATCTCCAAACAAAGACTATGTCCAAAACGCAGTTATCATTGGAATCAATCACTGTATGCCTGATCATAAGACCTGCTTTAAGGTGCCAGGATTAAGAGACTCACCTGTTTCCCTGATCATATCGATGAGACCTGCTTTAAGGTGCTAGGATTAAGAGACTCAATCTTTTCATTGATCATGAGACCTGCTTTGATGTGCCAGGATTAAGAGACTCGTCTGTTTCCCTGATGATGAGACCTGCTTTAAGGGGCTAGGATTAAGAGACTCAATAATTTCCCTGGTCAGAAGACCTGCTTTAAAGTTCTAGGATTAAGAGACTCGCCTGTTTCTCTGGCAATGACACGTACTTCAAGGTGCTAGCATTAGGAGATTCGCACTGTATGCCTGATGATGAGACCTGCTTAAAGGTGCTGGGAATAAGAGACTCGCCTATTTCCCTGGCAATGTGGCGTGCTTAAAGGTGGTAAGATTAAGAGACTGGCCTATTTCCCTGACAATGACACGTGCTGTAAGGTGCTAGCATAAAGAGACTCGCCTGTTTCCCTGGCAATGTGGTGTGCTTAAAGGTGCCAGGATTATGAGACTCGCCTATTTTCCTGGCAATGTGGCGTGCTTAAAGGTGGTAGGATTAAGAGACTGGCCTATATCCCTGACAATAAGACCTGTTTAATGTGCTAGCATTAAGAGACTGGCCTATTTCCCTGACAAATACACGTGCTGTAAGGTGCTAGCATTAAGAGACTCGCCTGTATCCCTGACAATGAGACCTGTTTATGGTGCTAGCATTAAGAGACTCGCCTATTTCCCTAACAATGAGACGTGCTTTAAGGTGCTGGGACTAAGAGACTCACTTGTTTCCCAGATCATGAAGCCTGCTTAACGGTGCTAGGATTAAGAGTCGCCCTGTTTGCCTGATCGTGAAACCTGCTTTAAGGTGCTAGGATTCAGACACTCGCCTGTTTCCCTGATCATGAGACCTGCTTTAAGGTGCTAGGATTCAGACACTCGCCTGTTTCCCTGATCATGAGACCTGCTTTAAGGTGCAAGCTTTAGGATTATGAGACACGCCCTGTATTCTGATTATGCATCTATGTAAATGCAGTTCTAGGTGTCTCGAAAACCAATCAATTATTTTATTCTCTAGAAACCACCCATTACTGTACATGAGAAGGTCCAATGTAACACAATGTTAACTAGATATTTAGTTGACATATGCTTGTTCTCACGTGGCTGATTTGCTCGTTGTTTGGTCAGTAAGTTTAATGAAGGAGATAAGGGCTGAATTCATTCAATCACAGTCAAATAAGTCAATGAAATTTTAAGTCAGTTTGTAAAATGACAGAAGTGTTCAGTAATTCTAATATCTAATCAGCTACAGAAATAGCTTAAGACCCGCAACTTCATTTGATTAATTACATGTTCTTATATTAGTCCTGTCCGTTGTCAGCTTCCATCCTGAGGGGCAAATTTGGTATTTTACGGCGCTTCTAATAGTATCTGAACACCAACAAAAACATCATCGTGAATTTATAAATTCGCTGACAAAACATTGCTTAATTATTTATCCAAAAGTGAGAGACTAATAAGAGAGAAATTAAAATCTCCAAACAAAGACTATGCCCAATACGCATTTAAACAGTGGGATCAACCCAGCCTTGCATGTCTCAACCTCCCGAGGCAAGGGCGTCCACTAGCCTTGTGATCAAAGTCTTGTAGAACCTAGGCTTTGATATAGGCTAGTGGACACGCATGCCTCGGGTAAAAAAACTAGGCTTTGATATAAGCATATGGTCTATGATATAGGCTGGTGGACACGCTTGCCTCTATGGGAATGTCTTGACTGCTGTGTGCAGCGAAAGGATTTCTATGAAGCCATATTGTTCAAATCGTCAGTGAAGGCATATTTCGATTGATTTAAAACAAGTATTGAATATTGTACATGGATATGACTAGGTATACTTCGAAAGTCAATCATGTTGAATTTCATTAGTCGCCATTTAGATATATGGTTGAAGATTAAATATTAACAATACAATAACGATACAATTTCTGAGGTTACCCCCCTTTGTAAGTGCCAAAGATGGCGGACAAATTCGAGGCTTTGGAACAACAGTTAGAACTGTTTATTGAAAATACTCGTCAAATGGGTATCATTGTCAGTGATTTTCAGCCACAGGGACAGAATGTTCTGAATCAAAAGTTGTAAGTATACATATGTAATGCAAAACTCGTAATAGAAACTCAAATATGCTCAGAGGAAGGAGTCGATGAAGCTGCTCAAATAAACACTCTGATCAAATATTCTTTCGTCACATTGTGAATCTGTTAATCTCTAATTTCATGTTCATTTCCAAGTTGAGATGAGATACTGTGCAAGAGTGCAGTTTACCGGGCGAAGGCCATGTCCGCCTGCCAGTTCGCTTATTCACTTCAGCTGCAGCGGTCTGTCAGGCTGATTGTCTTTCACGTTTGTGTTTGGGTACGTTTGACACCGCGAGCCGAAGTAAAATATGTGAATGGTTCCTGTTTTTCATATCTACTCTGTTTCTGGTTTAATTTTTATTGTACATGTAGCAAATCATAAAATGGAAGGACTGTATTTTTTCATTTCAGACAGACCATGGTTTTAGAGATGCAGGAAATTGACAAATTCCGTCCGCAGATGCAAGATGTCCATGTCCCCTTGGAAGTTTTTGAGTAAGTTGAACACGGTAACATGGATAAAAATGCTTAAGTAGTGATTTACTGGTTTCAAGTATGTTGTCAAGTGACAATTCTGAATAATCGTCTGCTCAATTATCCAGTGTACTATACCATGGTTCAATCTGATGTCATAGCTTTGTTTTGAGTTCAAATCTAATGACACTGACCCAGGTGCAAGAGAAATTGTGCGCGGGTTATATTCCCAAACGAGCAAGATGCAGATGGTGATTTCACTTCTGCCACACAGATTTCCTCAAAACGTCAATTCTAAATTAAGCACATAACAGCATCAGTAACATGTTCAGAATAATCATGGTACTGGGTAATAGACATTTTGTAATTTCTTTCAAATAGCACTGTTCTCAGTTCTTCTTAACAGGGTTCAGACTAAAATAGTTTCACTGTGTACATGTTATATGTCCTTATTCATACTACATCTACCCATGAAGATCTGGGTTAGAATAGGTCTTCAGCAACCCATGCTTGTCGTGAGCGGTATTGAGTAGTAGTAGTAGTAGTAGTAGTATTGAGTGGTCAGACTCACTGACTTGGTTGATGCATGTCATCATATACCAATTGTGTAGACTGATATGATATCAATCATTGGGTTGTCTGGTCCAGACTCGATTATTTACAGACCGCCACCATATGGCTGACAACAATATTGCTGACAACAAACGAACAACCATGACTTCTTCTAAAATGTCATTCAGAGAAATGTTTTTCAGCTCAAATAGAAAAGTTGTTTTTAGGTAGACTTTTTCCTGCTTATGTTCACCTACACAGTCATTGACATTTGGCCTGTCTTTCGTTGCCTTCCAGCTACATTGATCAAGGTAAAAACCCAAACCTGTATACTAAAGACTGTTTGGAAAAAGCCTTGGCTAAAAATGAACTGATAAAGGGAAAGATGGATAATCTGAAGGTGAGTTTGAAATGAGTGAACTAATACATAACAAGGCCAAACCAAAGGTTTCATGGTTTTCCTCCATTTTGAAAAAATATCAATATACAAATTATTTTGATACTAACTGCTGCTTTTTACATTTTGTTTTAAATTACAGCAACACTAATCATTCTTATTAGGACTGTGCAATAAAAAGTAATTATCTGATGAGTCTCAGTACCTGGTATCTCATTTAGAACTCTTGCAATAACAGTTTATGATAGAAGTTGCAAGGATGTATTTAAAATACAGTTAGCAGTCACTGACACGTCGGGCAAATGAGAAGGGGTTTTACTAATTATGCAAGATCATGATATTGATTGTAAATTTCAGAAAAGTTTTTGGAATATAGATGACAAGTATGTAATACCAGCTACATTGTGATATAGAAAAGGTATTTGTGAGTCTGAGTTGCTGAATGCATACAGGCATGCTGAAACAGGGACTTACATGGGGCCAGGGACTTACATGGGGCCAGGGACAGTAACAAATATGGTGGGGGGTCCCTGGCTGGCGACTTGTGACACTTCACAGGATTTCAAGAACTTTATGCTCAGAAGCCTGTTACCATGGTTACAGATGTTAGGCTGATGAACCTTGTTTTTTTTTTATACCAGAATAGAAATATTAGTGACGTGTAACTTGCAGAATAGAAATATTAGTTACATGTAACATGCAATATACAAGTTTGTTATTATTTATTAAACAGCCGAACTATTCTGCGTCCACAGATTCGGTTTGCATTGTTTATCTCCACTCACAATCTAAATGTGTTTGGAAGGCAAGACTTTAAGCTTCTTTGTCTCACCTCCAGATGTACCAGTCCTGCCTATCTCCGATCTCACGCCTTATGTTTCTGTATGTGAACTTGGGTCCAAACCAAAATCTCGTCAGTCCTTCGTTACAAGCTCATGTCTTGTTCAAACAGATCTTTCTCCTTGTGTGTGCCTGTCTTGTGGAAAGGTCAACTGCCCCTTGACATTAAATAAGCTAGCTGCTTTGTCACATTTTGATAAAAACTGAAAACAGGTCTTTTCACTTCCTACTACAACAAAGTTGCAGGTTCTATTTTTCGTAATGTCTTGTCTATTTAGCACCAAGCACCCTGCCTAATATCGTTTTGTCCACAAATTCAGACAAAGAAAATCTCTGTTCCCTTCTTTCTTTGCATGATGGAATACACCATACATACATGGTCCAACCTACCACTCATGCTGAATAATAATCCCATCATTAATAGTTAGATTATGTAGAAGACTTGAAGAATTTGTTACAAATGTATGAGAAATGCCTCCCATGGTGTCTTCATTTCCATGTTTCAGAGGTTTAAGGCAATGCTGATGGTTGAACTTACAAAAGTCTTCCCAAACGAGATGAGCATGTACCGAGCCCTCAAAGGAGATGAACGACCAACATGACAACAACACTTGACATCCCTCAAAGGGGATGAACGACCAACATGACGACAACACTTGACATTACGTGGAATGTTGTGAAGAACTGCAGTCAAAACCAGGGCATCTGATCATCAGTTTTGTGACCAAAACCTACACTTGGTTTTATTGGAGGACACAACTCTCCAGGCACATACCTGTCCGTGGCAGGGCGTTTACTTCCTCAACTGGAGGAATCAGTGTGGTACATGTGCTGAAATAGCTAAACATTGTGGAATAGTGTTCGGCTGAAGACTTGAAGAATCAGCTGGGATTGTTTCATTGACCCTTAATGTATCATGTGTAAATGTGAATGTCGCTTTAACACGGCATCAGCAGTTTTTCAGCTATTCACAATGATCAGCGTGTTATTGCTACTGATGCTTCTGTGTTGAGCTGTCATCATATAGATCTTGTTTCTTTGTCTACTTTACCTGATGCAGCAAATAATACTTTAGGCTAAAAAAAAAATAATAGTCTTGTTCTCAGGCACCGCCCGCATCATGATAAAGTCTGCTGCACCTTTCATTTTTATTTCCATTCTCAAAAAAACATTTAAAAAATCCTTATACTCATGAAAAATGTGATCCAATGTATCATGCAGTTACTTCCCTTTACATGCGCACTGTTTACTGTGCATAACATGTTATGGTCATGGCGGCAATAGGTGTTTGTATGCTTGTTAATGTATGGAGGAAAAAAAGCACCGCCCGCTCGCACTATATTTTCAAAAGTCATTGCCTGAGAACCAATTCCTTTTTTTTAAGCCTTATGTAACTATATGAGATTGAGAGAGAAAATAGTGATTGTTGTACATGCTGTTGAACTGTGCTGTTTTCTTCATCATCCACTCTGTACATGATCCCATGCATCCGTCATCTCACATGTTTCAATCAATAAACAGCAATGTGATTCTGTTTTGATGAATTTTCTCCATATTTGGGACCTCTTGGGAAACAGTATATTTATCTGTGTATACATAAACAGACACACTGCAAACGCCTGCCTCATCCAGGTTGTGGATGCTGACCACTTTGGTGTGGACACATTTTAACCCTTATCAGGACAAATCTGGTATTTGAACCCACAGTCATCTATAGTTCCTGAATGAGCTCCTCGCATCAACAGTGCCATCATACATCCCAGCACATATGTTCTGAATGCCATATTTGCAAGTCTTGCCATTAAGGCGACTATGCTTGTCATAAGAGGCGACATGGAATCGGATGGTCAGGCTTGCTGACTTGGTTGATGCATGTCATCAAAGACCGATGCTCATGATCTTAATCACTGGATTGTCTGGCCGAGACTTGATTATCTACAGACAGCCGTCATATAGCAAGAATATTGCTGAGTATGGCGTTAACCAACAAACAAATTTGCAAGTCAGCAACTATTTTTCTAGTTCAGTAGATGTGAGGGGCGGTCTGGTAGCCTAGTTGTTAAAGCATTCCATTTTCACGCCGAAGACCCAGCTCGATTCCCGACAAGGGTCAAATGTGTGAAGCCCATTTCTGGTGTCCACTGCCGTGATATTGCTGGAATATTGCTGAAAGCGGCGCAAAACCATACTCACTCACTCACTCACTCACTCAGTAGATGTGAACAAAGTGGGTAAACACCAATGTTTGACTTATGTAAATGGCAGACAGACACCAGCCCTTGTGTTGACAAATGAGCTATTCTTTCTCACACTTTGACACACATACACTTGAGACATGAGAACACTAACCGAGCTGTTCAATATGATTTATTACAAAATGATTATGATGTCTGTACAGAGATTGATGTGGATGGGTGAGTGAGATTGGTGTGAACCAAAATTATAGGTTTCTGACACGCCTAAGGGACGCAACTCTGCACAGCAAAAAGCAGCACCTGGGACCCAGCGAAAGAAATTGGCACTAGTCGTATAGTCCTTGCCAAACTGCCCAGTAGTTAAGGAACCATAAGGATGAGTAGAAATTTGCCCCTTTTAAGTGTTTTGCTATGTGTTATCATTATAAGGACAAGTGGACGAAAACTGTTAGTTTCTACCGCTGGAGCCACTAGGCCACTTATGAGTGAGAGTGAATGGGGTTTAACAATGCTTTTCAACAGTATTACAGTATTATCACAGCTTGTCAGTTTAATCTGGGAGGAAAGCCCGAAGTGATGCAGGTGTTAGACGTTTACCACTTAGTGAAACCCACAAGCACGGGTATGGTGCCGACAAACCTAGAAACATTATCAGGGCGAACCGGGATTTGAACCACAATCATAGGTATCTGGCGTGCCAAAGGGATGCAACTCTGCACAGCAAATCGCAGCGCCTCAGACCACTGGGCCACCTGGGCCACCCATGCCCCCAGGCCACTGATGCCTCCTTGACGTAGGGATGAAGAGATTACTGAACAGATCTACTTTCTGGACGGTCTCTTCATCTCTTGCCGCCTCTTCTCCAGGTCCACCACCTGAAATTACACAACAGAATTAACAATGTCTTGGTAACTGAACCCCTGAAGGGGGACGATAATACTCCAAATATTTGATAAACATAAGTAACACCCCAAAGAAATCTAGTTCAAAAACATTTTTCAGGTATTCAGACAAAAAATAATCTGTGTGGGAATGTTAAGTACAAGCAGACAAAAGATTGTTTGTTTGTTGTTTAATGCTGCACTCAGCAATATTCCAGCTATATGACAGTGAACCAGAAAATCCAGTGATTGACAACTGTGAACATGAGTATCGATCCATGCAATTGGGATTAATGACATGCATCAACCAAGTCAGAAAGTCTGACCACCTGATCCCGTTAGTCTCCTCTTAGGACAAGCAGAGTCGTCTTCTATGGCAAGCATTGGTAGAGGTGAAACAGGTGGAAACATCAGTTTCTCTATTCACAGATTCTAATGTTTTGTCTTATCACCCGTTAATTCATCTCACAGAGGCACGAGCATCCACTAGCCTTTTTATCAAAGTCTTGTCTCCACCCTTGCCACATCAAGCTCACTTTCCTGTGCTAAATATGATTGGACTATCGCATATATCAATAGTCCAATCAGGGAACGTTTCACAAAATCAACATCCATGACTGGTACACCTTTGTATGAAAGTGATTCACCACTGCCTGTCTTTGTTTTTTTTCATCTTTTAAACCCTCAACGATTGCCTGTGCCTTCTATCAGGGATGAAATTGCGAACGGTTTCGTTATCTGATCGACTAGGTCTTAGCTGTTCGTAGTCGCCATCTTTGTGAAGTCATACGAGAAGATACGGGAAGATGCTGTAAAAGGCGACTATGTCTTGTCGTAAGAGGCGACTAAGGGGATCGGGTGCTCAGGCCGGCTGACTTGGTTGATGCAAGTCATCGATCCCAATTGCGTGAATCGATGTTCATGATCATTGGATTGTCTAGTCCAGATTCGATTATTTACAGACCGCCGTCATATAACTGGAATATTGCTGAGTGCTGCGTTCAACAACAAACAAACAAACAAACAAACAAACAGAAGTGAAGCTGTTTTGTGTGATACGACCAGAAGGCCGATTTTGAATGCCAATGTACTCTGTACTAGTGGTGGGACTTTACACCGATGCATCAGTGGATCACAATTATTTACTTCTCGATACAAGTATCGATCACAGTCACACCCACTAAGTAAAAATATCGATCTTAAATGATTGATTCATAACTGTTCCACTAAACACTAATCAGTAGTACACAGTTACTCTGTACATAGTGACAGCTACCTGTGTGACTTGCCCCTCTGCGATATTCTTCATTTCCTGACTGAGATTCCTGGAGTTGGGGAGAGTCTGCAAGAACACAACCACACACATCACCTGGCGGGGTCAAAGGTTATGGATATGACATGTTAACTAACATGACTAAACACTTTCAATTTTCATCATCATCATCATCATCATCATCATCATCATCATCATCATCAGTGAGTGAGTGAGTGAGTGAGTGAGTGAGTGAGTGAGTGAGTTTTATGCCGCTTTAAGCAATATTCCAGCACCAGAAATGGCTACCCGACTGCCCCTCATACATCTGACACATTCATCCTACACAACACAATATATGGATAGAGTCCCTATTTAAGTGCCCCTATGCAAAGTTGAGTAGAATACAACAAAACTACATTTTTCGAGATCACGCATCTTCCTGAGGCAAGGGCGTTACCTGACTATAAAAGTCCAGTTTCCAGCCTAGCAGAACTAGGCTGGAATTTCCATGCTTGATCTTGCATTTGCTTCAAATAAAATGGTGGGGCACAGTCAAGAGGACATGATCGATAATGAAGATCTAAATTGTAATCAAATGGATCTTACCCAGCGAAGTGAATCAAAGCACTTAAGCGCCTTGATAAAGATTATTGATGTGCAAAATATCTGTCGACGCTCAGTTGGTGGTACACATGGTTTTCATCTTCTGCAGTCAACCGAAATCTGCACATTGGAATCCATGTTGTTTACGAACCAGATACTACCAGGTTACAAGATTTTGATTGGGGCTATGTAAGACTTGTTAGTCCAGCTAAAATGTAACTCCGGATTTCCAAGCTCGTGTAGCAAGGGTGGAAACTGGACTTTTATAGTCGGTCGACGCCCTTGCCTTGGGAAGAGGTGAGGTGAAATGGGGCTTAACGTCTCGTCCAAGATTATTGCACTTATATAGCGACGTGCATGTACGTGTGTGTTTGTGTGGCTGCTTGTACTAGTCCGGACTGATGCCAATTTATAGTGCTAGCTCACTGAGATACCATGCCGCAGTTTAACATGAATACCCCACTCAGACACAGTATACTGACTCCATGCCGACAAGTCCTTGTTTTAGCCCCTTAATGCCGAGCGCCAGACAGGGTAACAACAAGTACCATCTTTTAACGTCTTTTGGTATGACGCGGTCGGGGATCGAACCCTGGGCAGGCTCTACCACTAGACCACGGAGGCGGTATGCCTTGGGAAGATGTGATCGTGCTAATCCTGTAACGTCTCCTGACCACTACGACTGACTAGCATAGGTTGCTGGAGACTGCTTATAACCTGGACGTCTCATGGGGATGTATACCACTGAAAACAAGTCAGAGGACAACCACACTTGGAAGTCCGTGTGTTGCAATACCCACCAGCCATGACAGATTAACGATAGTCATCTGAAAGAATTGGGTGTTTTTTTTAAACTTCTTTTGAAAACACACTACCTCAACGTCTCCTACGTTTAACGTCTCTTACCTTAACAAAGAACTTGGTGACCTGGAAGAGTTTGTCTGCACACGACTTGAATATGGCGCTGTCTTCATCAACCCCATGATGCACCAGGACAGACTTGACGATCTGCTCCAGTTTCTGTAACGTAATGCTCCAGCTTACATTGAGTACCGACATGGAGAATTTACTTTTGCTGTTGGCATGAGTGAGTGAGTGAGTTGGGTTTAACACCGCTTTTTACAGTATTCCAGTTATATCGCAGTGTGTCAACTTAATGTGGGAAGAAAGCCCGAAGTGATGCAGGTCTCAGACATTCATCACATTAGTGAAACCCATGAGCGCGGTTATGGTGCTGACAAACCTAGAAACATGATCGGGGCGAACCGGGAATCGAACCCCCAATCATAGGTTTCTGGCGTCCCAAGGGATGCAACTCTGCACAGCGAATCGCGGCGCCTTCGACAACTGGGCCACCTGTGCCCCCTGTTGGCATGAAGTTAGAAGTGCTTGATATGGTTGCTGACTGAACTAATTTGGTGCTGTAGATCACAATAGTGACAATTTCTAACAAATCCGTTAAATGCGTCATATTTTTATACAAGTACAGGAACTTATAGGTGTAAATCAAAGTCTTAAACTTGATTTCAGAAACAGTATCTTAAACTCTTTTGGGATAGTTTTGAAACAATAAAAATATTATAAATATATTTTTACTTCATTAAATACTTCAGGATACAGCTCAACAGATCCTTGAGCAGGGGCTTGTGGTTTGGGCGTTTGCCTGTCATTCCAAGGTTAACACATCACACAGTAGGGTATATGACTGTCAGCCGTGTTAGCCGTCTCATTCACCCACAACATCAGCATTGTGGTCAGACAGAACAACAAGTTTGCCTTGGTAGACAACACCCATACAACAAAGATTAGTCTCCCCTTACAAGGAAACTGAAATGAAAAACAACGACAACTCATCCAACTGAACTGTCAAGAAGAGCTACCTTTTTGTGCCTCTCAGAGCGGGACTGCTTCCTCGCCATCTCCTCATCCGACACACTTGCAGAAGACACAGGTCTCGATCGTAACGGTTTATCGAGTCTCTGTGATGAGAATACATCATCTCCGTCGTCTGATTGGTTGAGCAAATCTGGATCTGATCGTCGTTTCCTCTTCGGTGGTAGGGGCAGCACGTGGCTGTCTGACTTGAGGCGCTGGAAGGAAGCACTGGGTTGTTTCCGTGGCGATCGCCTCAGCCTCTCGGAGGTCAAGGTCATGCGCTTCCGTGGACTCTTCAGCCCTGGATGTTGCAGCACCATCTTCTGTCGGGACGGCTGGGACATGGGTCTGCAGGAGGAAGGGAAGTCAATAGGGCTGGGACAAGGGTCTGCAGGAGGAAGGGAAGTCAATAGGGCTGGGACAAGGGTCTGCAGGAGGAAGGGAAGTCAATAGGGCTGGGACATGGGTCTGCAGGAGGAAGGGAAGTCAATAGGGCTGGGACAAGGGTCTGCAGGAGGAAGGGAAGTCAATAGGGCTGGGACAAGGGTCTGCAGGAAAAAGGGAAGTCAATAGGGCTGGGACAAGGGTCTGCAGGAGGAAGGGAAGTCAATAGGGCTGGGACAAGGGTCTGCAGGAGGAAGGGAAGTCAATAGGGCTGGGACAAGGGTCTGCAGGAGGAAGGGAAGTCAATAGGGCTGGGACAAGGGTCTGCAGGAGGAAGGGAAGTCAATAGGGCTGGGACAAGGGTCTGCAGGAGGAAGGGAAGTCAATAGGGCTGGGACAAGGGTCTGCAGGAGGAAGGGAAGTCAATAGGGCTGGGACAAGGGTCTGCAGGAGGAAGGGAAGTCAATAGGGCTGGGACAAGGGTCTGCAGGAAAAAGGGAAGTCAATAGGGCTGGGACAAGGGTCTGCAGGAGGAAGGGAAGTCAATAGGGCTGGGACAAGGGTCTGCAGGAGGAAGGGAAGTCAATAGGGCTGGGACAAGGGTCTGCAGGAGGAAGGGAAGTCAATAGGGCTGGGACAAGGGTCTGCAGGAGGAAGGGAAGTCAATAGGGCTGGGACATGGGTCTGCAGGAGGAAGGGAAGTAAATAGGGCTGGGACATGGGTCTGCAGGAGGAAGGGAAGTCAATAGGGCTGGGACAAGGGTCTGCAGGAGGAAGGGAAGTCAATAGGGCTGGGACATGGGTCTGCAGGAGGAAGGGAAGTCAATAGGGCTGGGACAAGGGTCTGCAGGAAGAAGGGAAGTCAATAGGGCTGGGACAAGGGTCTGCAGGAGGAAGGGAAGTCAATAGGGCTGGGACAAGGGTCTGCAGGAGGAAGGGAAGTCAATAGGGCTGGGACAAGGGTCTGCAGGAGGAAGGGAAGTCAATAGGGCTGGGACAAGGGTCTGCAGGAGGAAGGGAAGTCAATAGGGCTGGGACATGGGTCTGCAGGAGGAAGGGAAGTCAATAGGGCTGGGACAAGGGTCTGCAGGAGGAAGGGAAGTCAATAGGGCTGGGACATGGGTCTGCAGGAGGAAGGGAAGTCAATAGGGCTGGGACAAGGGTCTGCAGGAGGAAGGGAAGTCAATAGGGCTGGGACAAGGGTCTGCAGGAGGAAGGGAAGTCAATAGGGCTGGGACAAGGGTCTGCAGGAGGAAGGGAAGTCAATAGGGCTGGGACATGGGTCTGCAGGAGGAAGGGAAGTCAATAGGGCTGGGACAAGGGTCTGCAGGAGGAAGGGAAGTCAATAGGGCTGGGACAAGGGTCTGCAGGAGGAAGGGAAGTCAATAGGGCTGGGACAAGGGTCTGCAGGAGGAAGGGAAGTCAATAGGGCTGGGACATGGGTCTGCAGGAGGAAGGGAAGTCAATAGGGCTGGGACAAGGGTCTGCAGGAAGAAGGGAAGTCAATAGGGCTGGGACAAGGGTCTGCAGGAGGAAGGGAAGTCAATAGGGCTGGGACAAGGGTCTGCAGGAGGAAGGGAAGTCAATAGGGCTGGGACATGGGTCTGCAGGAGGAAGGGAAGTCAATAGGGCTGGGACAAGGGTCTGCAGGAAGAAGGGAAGTCAATAGGGCTGGGACAAGGGTCTGCAGGAGGAAGGGAAGTCAATAGGGCTGGGACAAGGGTCTGCAGGAGGAAGGGAAGTCAATAGGGCTGGGACATGGGTCTGCAGGAGGAAGGGAAGTCAATAGGGCTGGGACAAGGGTCTGCAGGAGGAAGGGAAGTCAATAGGGCTGGGACAAGGGTCTGCAGGAGGAAGGGAAGTCAATAGGGCTGGGACAAGGGTCTGCAGGAGGAAGGGAAGTCAATAGGGCTGGGACATGGGTCTGCAGGAGGAAGGGAAGTCAATAGGGCTGGGACAAGGGTCTGCAGGAAGAAGGGAAGTCAATAGGGCTGGGACAAGGGTCTGCAGGAAGAAGGGAAGTCAATAGGGCTGGGGCAAGGGTCTGCAGGAGGAAGGGAAGTCAATAGGGCTGGGACAAGGGTCTGCAGGAGGAAGGGAAGTCAATAGGGCCGGGACATGGGTCTGCAGGAGGAAGGGACGTCAATAGGGCTGGGACAAGGGTCTGCAGGAGGAAGGGAAGTCAATAGGGCTGGGACATGGGTCTGCAGGAGGAAGGGAAGTCAATAGGGCTGGGACAAGGGTCTGCAGGAGGAAGGGAAGTCAATAGGGCCGGGACAAGGGTCTGCAGGAGGAAGGGAAGTCAATAGGGCTGGGACATGGGTCTGCAGGAGGAAGGGAAGTCAATAGGGCTGGGACAAGGGTCTGCAGGAGGAAGGGAAGTCAATAGGGCTGGGACAAGGGTCTGCAGGAGGAAGGGAAGTCAATAGGGCTGGGACATGGGTCTGCAGGAGGAAGGGAAGTCAATAGGGCTGGGACAAGGGTCTGCAGGAGGAAGGGAAGTCAATAGGGCTGGGACATGGGTCTGCAGGAGGAAGGGAAGTCAATAGGGCTGGGACAAGGGTCTGCAGGAGGAAGGGAAGTCAATAGGGCTGGGACAAGGGTCTGCAGGAGGAAGGGAAGTCAATAGGGCTGGGACAAGGGTCTGCAGGAGGAAGGGAAGTCAATAGGGCTGGGACATGGGTCTGCAGGAGGAAGGGAAGTCAATAGGGCTGGGACAAGGGTCTGCAGGAGGAAGGGAAGTCAATAGGGCTGGGACAAGGGTCTGCAGGAGGAAGGGAAGTCAATAGGGCTGGGACAAGGGTCTGCAGGAGGAAGGGAAGTCAATAGGGCTGGGACAAGGGTCTGCAGGAGGAAGGGAAGTCAATAGGGGGACGACTCCATATTTACTACCCGGGTTCCTAAACCACTATTACCCGACCCTACCCGGGTACCCACTGTAGGTCTCAAGAGATTGTACAAAATGTCCAATTGGGAAGAGTTTGACTGTAGCCCTAGTAAAATGTATTTAGATACACATATAAAATGATCTCATCTTGCATACACTGAAGATTTACCTTTATTCTGTTTAAAAGTCAGAAGGAATGGGTGCATAGTCAGAGAGAAATATGAGGTGAGGTGAAATTGGGTTTAACGTCGCGTCCAAGATTATTGCACTTATATAGCGACGTGCATGCACGTGTATGTGTGTGTGTGGCTGCTTGTACTAGTCCGGACTGATGCCGATTTATAGTGCTAGCTCACTGAGATACCATGCCGCAGTTTAACATGAATACCCCACTCAGACACAGTATACTGACTCCGAGCCGACCAGTCCTTGTTTTAGCCCCTTAATGCCGAGCGCCAGACAGGGTAACAACAAGTACAATCTTTTAACGTCTTTTTGTATGACGCGGCCCGGGATCGAACCCTGGACCTTCCGCTCTCCGGGCGGACGCTCTACCACAAGACCACGAGAGAGAAATATGACCATGAGTGACTTGTAGTGTAACCATAGAGTTCTAGATAATATTTGTCATTAAACAACATATCACGTGACTAACCACGGGTCCGTGTAGTCGTATGGGTACCCGGGTCCTACTCAGTACCCACCTGACCCGAGTACCCGAGTCACCCGTCCCAGCCCTAGACGGCAACATCTTTCTATTATTTAATTCCATGTTGGTAATCACTTTGTCAATCCTGTACGGAAATATGTACTGAATCACAACAATCCCATAGCAGCATTTATGTAACGGATGGACTATTTGTCAGTAATACTGTTCATACTCTGCACTACGTGGTAAGATAGTTTTAAGGTTCATACAGATATAGAGCACTAAAATTCAAGGTTTTTCAAGGCTTTCAACTGTCATTTTCAAGGCTTTTTAGCAAGGTTATTATTTATAGACTCTCAATATTTTTTTTAAATACAATATGCTCAGTATGTGTTAGTTGCAAGACCTAACAAGAAAAAAATGTGAGCGTGGCTCACTAATACCCCCGACCCGCCTAGTGTGTCAGTAGTTTCAAATTAAATAGCTAGGATTGGGTTAGGGTTTGAAAAATTCATAAAAAAATGGAAAATCAATAAAAACAATTTTTTTCGTTTGACTGCACCCCTCAATATGACGCAGATGATATGTACTAAGTTTGAGATGAATCCTAAAAGTCGGGGGTATAAAAAGCAGTATGCAATTAACAAATTCTTTGGCACATAAATCTATCACCGTGATAAATCATACTCAAACATCTTTGGTACACACACCACCAGGGTTTCACCTTGGCTTACATAAGAGGGGGTCCAGGAGACCCCTAATAATGAAGTTTAAGGGTCCTTGCAGCCCATATGAAGGTCCTGTAAAGTAATAAAATGGTGTAGTGCACTGTACGTTTTGATAATTACCTTGGAGCCTGGAATGAATCAGTGACCATGTGGACAGTGGTCATGATTGATGGATGAAATGACCGACACCCATAACTGCTCTTGATGTGCTGTAGGTACAATGACTATTACTGTGTAACCCTCGGGACACAGTGTATATTTTTCTCCCTTAATTCTATATATTTGTGTTTCACATAAAACCTTCATAACTATTATTTTTAACAGGTACATATCATTTTGTACAAATGCAAAGCCCTTCATGCTATTTTGGTGATTTTCGAAGCTCTCCAAGGTTGACACTAAAAATCAAGGCTTGTTAAGAGGGACCTTAAATTTCAAGGCTTTTCCAAGCCTGTATGAAGCTTGTTTGTTTGATTTGTTTGTTTTGTTTGTTTGTTGTTTACTGCCACACTCAATAATATTTCAGCTATATGAATTGGTCTGTAAATAATCATGTCTGGAGCCAACAATCCAGTGATTGACATAATGAGCATCGATCCATGCAATTGGGATATGATGACATGCATCAACCAAGTCAGCGAGCCTGACCACCCGATCCCATTAGTCACCTCTTACGACAAGCATAGTCACCTTTTACGGCAAGCATGGGTAGCTGAAGACCTATTCTTCACGGGCCCAATTCCGGGTTTGAACCTACAGACGTGAACTAAGGGAGACTACTCAATAAAACAGAGCATCCTCACCTGATCTCCTCCTTCATCGGCCGCAGTGCTGTCAGTGGACCTCGCGGCGACTTCCTGGACGGCGACATGAGACTCCCTGACCTTCGCTTCCTGTCTCCGGACTCGGACTTGTGGGGTTTCTTCTTGGTGAGGATGCGTTTGGTCGTGAAGGAGCTGCAGGTCTCATTCTTGATGAACTTCTCCCGTAAACTGGAGTAGTGTTTTTCATTCTTCTCTGATATTTTGTCCTTGTAGTAGCTGGGAACAAACAGGCAACAAATCCATGTGCACCAATTATCAATAAGGTGGGCGGAGCTAAAAGGGAGTTTAATCGCACGTTGCAACAATATCTCATTGTGCATGAACGTGTGGTTTGGTCTCCAAGCAGACACTCAATTCTATAGATGATGGAGGTGATGGTCTTATCATGGAGACGGTCTAATCATAAAGGCGGTCTAAAAATGGAGGCGGTTTTATCATGGAGAGGGTCTAATGATAGAGACGTTCTAAAAATGGAGGCGGTTTTATCATGGAGACGGTCTAATCATGGGGACAGTCTAATCACGGAGGCGGTCTAACCATAAAGGCAGTCTTATCATGGTGGCAATCTAACCATGGAGCGGTCTAACCAGGTAGGAAATCTTATCATGGAGGTGATCTAATCATGGGGGCAGTCTAATCATGGAGGTGGTCTCATCATTGATATCTTATTATCAATAGAGGCGGTCTAATTATAGAGGTGGTCTAATCATGGAGGTAATCTAATCATGGAGACTGTCTAATCATGGAGGCGGTCTATTCATGGAGATGATCTAATCATGAAGGTAGTCTAATCATGGAGACGGTCTAATATGGAGGCTGTCTAATCATGGAGATGATCTAATCATTAAGGTGGTCTAATCATGAAGGTGGTCTTATCACGGAGACGGTCTAATCATGGAGGCAGTCTAATCATGGAGATGATCTAATCATTAAGGTGGTCTAATCATGATGGTGGTCTTATCATGATGGTGGTCTTATCACCGAGACAGTCTAATTATGGAGGTGGTCTAATCATGGAGACAGTCTAATCATAGATTGATCGAATCATGGAGACACTCTAATCATGGAGCGGTCTAACCAGGTAGGAAATCTTATCATGGAGGCGATCTAATCATGAAGGCGGTCTAATCATGGAGGCGATCTGATGATGAAGGCAATCTAACCATGGAGCGGTCTAACCAGGTAGGAAATCTTATCATGGAGGCGATCTAATCATGAAGGCGGTCTAATCATGGAGGCGATCTGATGATGAAGGCTGTCTAATCAGGGAGGAGGTCATATCATGGTGGCAGTCAAATCATGGAGGTTTTCTTATTATGGAGGAGGTCTAATCATGGTGGTCTAACAATGGAGACAGTGATCATGGAGGCCGTCTGATTATGGAGGACTGATCCTGGAGGCGGTCTAATCATAGACACAGTCTAATCATGAAGACATTCTGATAATGGAAGCTGTCTAACAATGGAGGCAGTCATGGAGATAGTATAACCATTATGATCTAATAATGGAGGCAGTCTAACCATGGAGGTGGTCTAACCACGATGGTCTAATCATGTAGGAGCTGTAGTCATGGAGGCGGTCTAACCATGATAGTCTAATAATAGAGGCACTCTAATGATAAAGGCTGTCTAATCATGAAGACAGTCTAGCCATGGTGGTGTAATCATGAACGTGATCTAACCATTAAGGATGTCTAATAAGGGACATGGTCTGACCATGATGATCTACCCATGGAGGCGATCTAATCATGAAGGCGGTCTAATCATGAAGGCAGTCTAATAATGGAGGCTGTCTAATCATGTAGGCGGTCTAACCATGATGGTCTAACCATGGAGGCAGTCTTACCATGGTGGTCTAACCATAACGGCGGTATAACCATAATGGTCTAATCATGAAGGTATTCTAATCATGAAGGTATTCTAATCATGGAGGCGGTCGAAACATAAAGGTCTAACAATGAAGGCGGTCTTATTATGAAGATGGTCTAATCATGACTGTGGTCTAATAAGGGAGGCGGTCTTATCATTGAGACGGTCTAAAAATGGAGAAGGTCTAACCATGAAGGCGGTCTAATAATGGAGGTGGTCTTATCATGGGGACTGTCTAAGAATGGAGGCGGTCTTATCATGAAGATGGTCTAATCATGGCGATGGTCTTATCATGAAGGTGGTGTTGTCATGGAGACTGTCTAATAATGGAGGCAGTCTTATCATGGATGCGGTCTAACCAGGGATGCAGTCTAATAATGGATATGGTTCTCTCATGGAGACGGTCTAAGAATGGAGGTGGGCTTATCATGAAGGGAGTGTAATCATAAATGCGGTCTAATAATGGACATGATGGAAGCAGTAATATCATGAAGACGGTCTAATCATGGAGTCGGTCTAACCATGGAGGCGGTCTAACCATGGAGGCGGTCTAACCATGGAGGCGGTCTAAATATGGAGGTGGTCTAATTACGAATAATGATCAGAGCTTACTGTACACAAGCATGTTTATGTTTTGGAGCCACGACCTCCTCACATTTACATGTTCCAATACTTGAAACTTCAGACCGAGAATGGTATATCCCCAAAATGAACGGACATGGTATAAACATTTCAAGTCTGTACTTTAGAGTTAATTAGACATGTGATGTGGTTTCAACTTAAGACATTTACTTCAGGGACATTCTTCGTTTTCTTGACAAACGTGGTGCTGGGGATCAGCATTCCCCTGGTTCCATGCACCTGGATGTCTCCACCTATAGTTCAGGACCCGCCATGCAGTCGCTTTACTCACAAATATAAACAATCAGATGGCATGGCAAAAGTTTTGACAATTTCACGGAACAAAGAAACTGACTGTGTGAAGTTACCTACTCAATGCCGTGAAATAGCGTATCCATGCAGTCGGGCCACAAGAGAGTTGTCTCCCCCTGACTACTGAGTTTGGTCAGCTTGCGTCTTGACTGCTGTAAACAGATCAGTCGGAAACATTCATGACATGCTCACCTCACAATTATCTCCAAAGCTGCTTCGTGTCTCGACAATCTAACCTCACCGAAAAACGGTTGTTTAAGAATTTTTATTAAGATCTTCATCGTAACAAAATGAAATGCGTTAGGAAAGCATCCTTCCTTTCAATAAAAGAAACCCAGTTACACTCAGAAACTGTCACACCTCTACTAGAAACATGCGGTGAGATGAGATGATTTTGGTTTGGTTTGGTTTGTTGTTTAACGCCGCACTCAGCAATATTCCAGCTATATGACGGCGGTCTGTAAATAATCGAGTCTGGACCAGACAATCCAGTGATTGATATCATGAGCATCAATCCACGCAATTGGGATCGATGACATGTATCAACCAAGTCAGCAAGGCTTACCACCCGATCCCGGTAGTCGCCATTTACGGCAAGCACTGGTTGCTGAAGACCTATTCTACCCCGGAATCTTCACCAGATGAGATGAGGTGAAGTGGGGTTTACCGTCACATTCAAGAATATTGCATTTATAAAGCGACCTGTATGTGAAAGTGGCTGCTTGTACTAGTCCGGACTGATGCCGATTTATAGTGGAAACATGCACTCTGGTATCTATCCTTGTTATTTGTAACAGCCAAGATGTTAAATCTATGGGCAGCATTAAGAACATGTAAATATGTGATACGCCAGGAGAATAGGGACCTTATGGATGCTAGGATACAATTGTGCTGTGACGTAAAAAAGAAAGACGTTTAACGTCAACCATGTGTGCGGACTAAAAATATATCGTATTTTCTCTCGTAAGTTCGTAATGTTAATAAACATTATTTCGAAACATTTCAGCTTACTTTCTACTGTCTACTTTCAATTAATCAGACATTATACAAATGTATCTAAAAACTGCAATTATTACATAAAGCCTGAAAATGGGACGTTGCAGAAAATGAGTCCAAATGTTTGATGCCATGTGTCTCTGTAATAAATATGAATTGAAGCTTATCAACTCTATTTTAGTGGTCCTAAGATACATTAGTTTTAAAATATAATAAGAAGTCAAATATGATTTTCAACCATAAGGTCCCTTATCTTATGGTTGGTCACCATACAGAAGGAATCGTACCTGTCTGATCGGTGAAAGCTTGTCGATGTATGCGCTTCCATCTGGGTTGAACAACTTGATGAAGTCCTTCACTTCTATTGTTGACACACCTGAAATACGTTGTTCAGTTGACCATCAATGAGCAGAAAACATGCCACGTAGTGATGATGTTTCATTGTGTTCAAATGTTAAAGTGTCCGGAATCAAATATTAAATAAGGCTAAATAAAAAAATAATCTTGGTTCTCAGGCACCGCCTGCATCATCACAAAGTCCGCCACATGGTTCGTTTTTACTTCCATTTTTATAAAAACCAAAAACATCCCTAATTATTCCAAGGCCAACAGTAGTCAAATGTCAAATACTGTATTCCAGTATTTTACTCATCAAGGAATACATTTTTGTATGGAGGCCCTTTCCCAGGTTGATTGTACACAACTTTTTATTTGGTTACACAACTGTTTATTTGGTTACATACTGAGTTCGAACACACATCACCCCCAAAAAAGAACCCCCAAAAACCCCAACAAAACACCACCCCCACCATATTTTCAAAAAACAATGCCTGATAACCAATTCTTTTATTATATTTAGCCTAACACTAGAAAATCTTAAATCACACATTATTTCACAATAGATGAAAAGACAAGATAACCTTGATTTAATAACTTCTCTAACTTTATAGCCCACTGAGATACCATGCCGCAGTTTAACATGAATACCCCACTCAGACACAGTATACTGACTCCGAGACCACCAGTCCTTGTTTTAGCTCCTTAATGCCGAGCGCCAGGCAGGGTAACATGGTGAGATCCCATGCCGCAGTTTAACATGAATACTCCACTCAGACACAGTATACTGACTCCGAGACCACCAGTCCTTGTTTTAGCTCCTTAATGCCGAGCGCCAGGCAGGGTAACCCTGGACATTTCGCTCTCCAGGCGGTCGCGCTATCACTAGACCACGGAGGCTGTCTTTTTACAGAAAAAAGAACACAGGCAATATTATGTTAAGCTTCAACCACAAGGCTACCCCATAACGTCCAGACAACTCCTGGTTCTACAACTGTCAAAACTCCAATACTTCAGTATGAGACTGTAAAATTGCTTCCTGCGATGGAAATCAACATTACAAAATGTCTTAGCCTTGGATGCTAGAAACAGGAACATAGAGGTTATCACGCGAGTGTGTTTGGGGATGGTAAATATCCTGCGTTAGGAATAAACGAGCTAAATACATAGTGTTTATTCCTAATACAGGATATTTACCATCCCCAAACACACAAGCGTGATAACCTCTTTATCATATAATGTCATTCTTTAATTCTGTGCTTCAAAATCGCTTTCCCTCTCTCATATACATAACCGAAACATTGCGAGTTTTTCTTGAATGCGTGCATTAATATTTATTACGTCACAGGGTAAGAGATGTGTCAGTCAGACAGTGACAGTAGCCAATATAGTTCCAACTGAAATCAGTTTCTTATACAGTGGCGAAGCAACCTATACGCAAAACAACAACTGTTTTTAATTGCCTTTCACGGCAATCCATCTGTCTGTCCGCTAGAGTAACTGCCCTTTGTCAAAGGGAAGCTACTCTAACCCTAGTCTATGAGACGTCACGGCCACGGTCAGTCGTTGTTGACAGTCGGTCTGTCCTGTCATAACGTTAAGAAGTGCAGTCAGATGTACACACAGCGACAAAACAAAACAAGGTAACAATTCAAACATATTTCGGACAAATCCAACTATTTTAATTTGTGGAGAAGGTTTCAAGCCGCAGAGGTCTACAAGCACAGATATGGCTACTGATCCCGCTTGGCTAGGCCTCGTGCCCTCGCAAAATTGTTTTGAAATTTATATCTCTAAAGTTGACAAAACTTATAAAATGCCTTAGCTACGTCACAGTTAGAGACTGATTTTCAGTATATTAGACTGTTCTTTTGATAATGATAGCAATTATCCCTGTAGTTTATCCAGATTCCCGATGGTTAATTCTGACTCGATCCCCGAATGATGAGGGCGACGCCATGTTTGTTTATAAACAGTGAAAGTAGTCCCTACTTGACCTTTGATATTTGCATCTCTATCCGCATATGACCCCAACGGATATCGTTTTTATCCGTTGGCTTTATCCTGCCGAGAAACCTACCCATTATATGATAAATGATGTTATCTTCTTCAATAATTAAGGGAACTAATCAAAAAACATTTTCTGTTCTTGATTGTGACAAGTTCTCTTCAAAGACGACAAGACCTAGATTACATGATCAAGGTTAAAAGAGGTAAGTCTTCTGCACTCTTAATAGCCCCACAAGCCATCCTCGAATTGTAATGGTATTGAATCTTCCAACCAATCAGTACCATAGATTCATTTTGAGCCTGGTTTGAATGACACAATGCTAAATTTAGCCAAATTGTAACCAAATTACACGCAAGAGCGACAAAGCCTGTGCAAAGATAGTGATAGGAGAGATCTGTCATCACAGAATTGTGAGAATTGAGGGATAGTTAATACATAACTGTCTTGAGCTGTGTGTGTTTTTATTCAAGGTAAATGACAACAACCTCTGGACCAGACAAGGTCTTCAGCAACCCATCCTTGCCGTAAAAGGCGACTATGCTTGCCGTAAAAGGCGACTATGCTTGTCGTAAAAGGCGACTAACGGGAACGGGTGGTCAGGCTCGATGACTTGGTTAATGCATGTCATCAGTCCCAGTTGCGTGGATCGATGCTCATGATATTAATCACTGGATTGTCTGGTCCAGACTCGATTATTTACAGACCGCCGCCATATAGCTGGAATATTGCTGAGTGCGGTGTTAAACAACAAACCAATCAACCAACCGAGTCTGACCACCCGACAAGTACACGTTACTGGGAACCAGTTCTAACTGGCATCCTCACGGCATCTGTCAAGTACTGACCATCATCAGGGTGTGGTGGGGACGAGAGACAAGCACTTTCTGAAGACTGGTAGCGCCGCATCTCTCGTTTCTGTGTGTCCTGGTGTTGCACAGCCTTCCTCTCTGGCCAGTCCAGGGGGTCCATCTCCACATCTGCATGAGATGACATACGTGTTATTCCATATTATAGCTAAAATGGATAGAATTATCATTAAACCGCCCGCATGTTATCAGAAATGAGCGGGCCACTGTAACTTGATAATGCCCTCACATCGCTTGACGACGGGCCATTATCACGCCCGTTGTTAGGTGACTTCATAGGGATAGGTGACGTCACGTTCATAGTGATCTGATTTGTTCTATGACGTTTCCATCTTTGTAAAGGTGGGTCAGTGACAATCGTGTTGATTGCAGTGAATGTTTCAAAACCGACATTGTTGTTTCTTTTTATTTGATAACAAATTCCATTCATTTTAGTTATAATAACGGTAATGCCATTTTCATGCCATTTTCAAGCCATTATCATCTGCAGAAGCCCTCGGTCTTTTCAACTGCCCTCCCTCGTCGGGCAGTTAATGGAAAACCTCAGGCTTCTGCAAATGATAATGCCCTGAAAAATAGCGTTACCCTTAGCAATACTTGGGTGGTCAGTAAGTCCACCTTCCAAGTCCAATAAGGAAGTCCAATAATTGAGGGGACACAGGTGGCCCAGTCATCTAAGGCGGCACGATTCGCTGAGATGCGTCCCTTGGAAACACCAGATACCTATGATTTTTGGTTCAAATCCCGGTTCCCCCGATATGTTTCTAGGTTTGTCAGCACCATACCCGTGCTCGTGGGTTTCACCAGATTGTTAAATGTCTGAGACCTGCATCACCCCGAGCTTTCCTCCCACATTAAGCTGACACACCGTGATATAACTGGAATACTGTTAAAAGCGGTGTTAAACCCAACTCACTCACTCACTCACTACTTTCAAGAAATGTATGCATTCTACGTTGTTCTGATGGACATAATTATGTCATCATGGATGTACAATGTCATGATAGCTGACATCTTCCCGACGCAAGGGAGGTAACTGACTATAAAGGTGAAGTTTCAATCTTTGCCGAATGAGGCTGGAATTTTGTAACTCTCGTAACACATGCATTTGCCTCAAACGAAATGACGGTGCAAAGTTAAGACAATCTGATCATTATTCAAGATCTATGTTGTAATCAAACGTGTCTTAACTCCCTTGCTTGGGAAGATGGATGGTTGACAAATTAATGTAAGATTTTTTACAAATCACTGACCTGGTTCGAGAGTAGGAATGGTGTTGGACTCTTCAGCTCTGCTTGCCGCAGCCTGGAATACTCCGTCCTGGAACAGCTGGTCCAGGAAGTTCTGCTGAATCTGCCCCAGGAACTTGTACAGCATCTCCACCGACATCACAGTGGACTCTCCATGCTGCTCAAGTTCAGCTGATAGAAAAAGTCATTATGGTTGCCAGGGTCAATTTAACTGCTGGACTGTCGGCCTGGGGCCAGTTAAAATTACAAAGGGCTTGGTGAAATGAAAAGTACATTACCCTTCTGGCTAGTCAAAATTTCAACTCTGTTTATTTTTTTTAATTCAATCATCTTGGTAGAATGACAGGGAGCAAACGATCAAGCCCTGCTGGCTACATACAAACTTGTAATTTTCTACCCCTGTGGTTGTCATGGAAGTGTCAAACTGACATTTACTGTAACCTTTGTTGAGAAAGTGTCAAACTGACATTTACTGTAACCTTTGTCGAGAAAGTGTCAAACTGACCTTTACTGTAACCTTTGTCGAGAAAGTGTCAAACGACATTTACTGTAACCTTGGTTGAGAAAGTGTCAAACTGACATGTACTGTAACCTTTGTCGAGAAAGTGTCAAACCGACATTTTCTGTAACCTTTGTCAAGAAAGTGTCAAACTGACATTTACTGTAACCTTTGTTGAGAAAGTGTCAAACTGACATTTACTGTAACCTTTGTCGAGAAAGTGTCAAACTGACATTTACTGTAACCTTTGTTGAGAAAGTGTCAAACGACATTTACTGTAACCTTTGTTGAGAAAGTGTCAAACTGACATTTACTGTAACCTTTGTCGAGAAAGTGTCAAACTGACATTTACTGTAACCTTTGTTGAGAAAGTGTCAAACGACATTTACTGTAACCTTTGTTGAGAAAGTGTCAAACGACATTTACTGTAACCTTTGTCGAGAAAGTGTCAAACTGACATTTACTGTAACCTTTGTTGAGAAAGTGTCAAACGACATTTACTGTAACTTTTGTTGAGAAAGGTTCAAACTGACATTTCCTTTTTTTTGCATATAATCACTTTATCGGTATCACTGGATCATGAACAGGACCATCAACCATACAAGCACATGCTATCTACACATTTGTTACAAGTTTGTCCACTATTTCATGTATTGCCAGAACTTTGATACAAGTTTGTCCTTTAACCCCTGTATAACCTGTTCCCTTACCGATCCCACTCGTGAAGATCCAGGGTAGAATAGGTCTTCAGTAACCCATGCTTGCCATAAAAGGCGACTATGCTTGTCGTAAGAGGCGACTAACGGGATCAGGTGATCGGGCTCACTGACTTTGTTGAAGCATGTCATTCTACTCCAATTGCGTGTATCGATGCTCATGATGTCAATCACTGGATTGTCTGGTCCAGATTTTATTATTGACCGTCGTCGTACAGCTGTAATATTGCTGAGTGAGGCATTAAACAACAAACAAGCAAAACCTTACCAATCCAGTCCTGTAGCATGCCAGTTTGCATGTGGACAAGGCTAGTGTTGAGCTGGTCGACCACCTCCCCCGTGATGTGAGGCAGGCCACTCAGGTAGGTGTCCAGGCTGGTGCTGGGCCTCCCACTCGGGCTCCCACCACACCCACTGCTGTACAGGCCGGAGTCCATGCGGAACAAGCCGGCGTTTACTTCCGAACTGTCACGCAGGACGACAGCAGTCAGGTGATCAGCGGAGGAGTCTTCTCTCCGCAACACAACGTGGAGGAAGTGGGTGGGACTCAAGAGGTCTTCCTCTTGCTCTGGAGGAAGAAGGAGTAAACTAGAGTGAGGGAATATTGTTTAGTGAGAGTTAGTTCATTTAGCACCTCCTCCATTTACGCACGTTTAGTGAAGGGACATACAGCAGTCATGAGGGAGACCGTCAGCAGTCATAAACATAGTCTATATATTACTTACTGGCATTTTAAGGAAGAAATATACATCACTAAAGTCAGCCTATTATCTAGAAGATGTAATGGATAGACTGTTGGTTATATCTCACTAGTCTGTCATACAGACCTGAAACAAATATAGCCAATAAAGCAAGTCTATATGAGTCAGCAAATCTAGATTACTGCAGTATCAGGAGAGTCTCTGGGCTCTTTTTTATTATATTTTTATTAAGATAATGTTCATTTCAGAGACTAATATCTACTTTCTAGTACCTCACCTATGACGTAGTCCACATTTGCCATGACACTCTCCCTCCATGCCTGGGCACTGAGTTTCTGGGTACAGTCGACCACCGACGCGGAGTCATACACAGCCAGGCGGGCGATCACCGCAGTCTGGAGAAGACAGTGAGCTGGGCATATCAAAACTTGGAACAGTATTTCATGACACTGGTATAAGTAAAGGTATGTTGCTGACAAAGCAAGGATCGTTTCTAAAATGGATTTGGGAATAAAACCAACAGCAACATCTGGCATGCTTCAGATGACTGAGCCACACCCACAGAAACAGGACAGACGATGTTAACAGTTAAAATTCCTAAATTAGTTTTGAAAGCCTGAGGATACTGTATTTATGGGACTTGAGTTTACAAACAAAATTAATCAAAATCTTTATTCTTGCATCATGAACAAAACTATTCCCGGAAACAAACTCAGTGGAAAACAAATTTTCAAAAAGGAAAACAAAAAGGCTCCTATGCTTCAAAGTTTAGAGAAATTTAAATATGAATTACATATTGAAACATTCTAGAAAGCACAATTCTGGGCATCCATTCTCAATTGTTATATAACCAACTCAAAAACAGTTAAGGGCCACCCGATTATTTTATTTTAATATAGTTAATCTGTCACGGCATGAAAGATTAACTATAGTACAATGAAAGAATTGAGTGGTCCTTAACTTTAGTTGAGTAGTATATACAGGAAGCAGTATAAGTTCATAATAATCCTGCTACTGGGCAACAAACAAAAGCTACTGTGCTAACAAATTATCTGTGCAAAAACTTTCTTCCACATGAAATCACATGCATGCAGCCATACTCTGGGCACGTAGGACTGTTTCTCTAGATCTGTGTAATCTGTGGAAGACAACATCTCACCTGCTCCTGGTCCAGCAGTTCCTGTACCAGCGCCATCGACAGGTGATGTGGATGCCACACGGATCTTTGGACTTATAAGGACTGAACATTCATGGATCGTTACAACAACACCCCTGACGAAACATTTGGTGGATCGTTACACCCCCACCCTTGACGAGACATTTGGTGGATAGGTACACCCCCACCCTTGATGAAACATTTGGTGGATCGTTTCACCCCACCCTTGACAAAACATTTGGTGGATCGTTACGCCCCCACCCTTGACGAAACTTGGTGGATCGTTACACCCCAACCCTTGACGAAACATTTGGTTGATCGTTACGCCCCCACCCTTGATGAAACATTTGGTGGATTGTTACGCCCCAACCCTTGACGAAACATTTGGTGGATCGTTACGCCCCAACCCTTGACTGAACATGAAAAGCTACAAACACAAAGATTTTAACACGATAAATTCTCAAAATCTGATTAAATATTTTGGGGTCTATAGGGGTACTCTCCATAACCCCAAAAACATATTGATGTCATTTCTTACAAATAACTATGTCTCAGACGTTACCACTTCAGCAAAACCCAAGAGCACAGGTTAGTGCTGACAAACCTAGAATCATAATCGGGCCGAACCGGGATTTGAACCCACAATCATAGGTTTCTGACATGTCCAAGGGACGCAACTCTGCACAGCAAATCGTTGTGCCTCAGACGCCTCTTATATTTCGATGTTGCCTCAAGTTTTGAACTGACACCAAGATAACCTACTTCTCCTTTCAGCCATAACCAGCTGACAACACCTGACATCTTGTTCTCATCAAGGATACAGCTGAAGTTTGTGGTGTGTCAACATGAAAGATGGCAGGGTCCTTGCATCCACTTGGTCGAGGACCTCCAACATCCGCCCCATCACAGGAACACCCGTCTCTTCATGCTGGAACAGTGACAACATGCATAGCTTCAATGCACACAACCAATGCCATGTATGATGTATATCATCTTCCCGAGCCAAGAGAGTTAACTGACAACAAAAATGTATAAAAGTCCAGTTCCACCCTTGCCGAACTAGGCTGGAATTTCCAGGCTCAATTGTAGCCACCAGTGGCTATTACGAGTTAGGTCCCTTCTAAGTTCCCCCTACTGACCAATCAGATTCCATTTCTCATATCACTTGTATTTGCTTCAAACAAAAAGGCGGTGCCCAGTCAGGGCGATCTGCTCGTTGGTCAAAATCTGTATTGTAATACGACGGGTCTTACCACACAAAGTGCAACAGATCACATAAGCACCTTGATTGGAAACATGAAAGAATTTGCAAAATATCTGTCGGTACACATGCTTTGCAAATCCTGTAGTCAACTGAAATCTGCACTTTGAAATCCATGTTGTTTACGAACCGGATGTCTAGTTGGTTACGCGATTTTGATTGGCTGTACAAACGAGTCTATGTAGTCCAAAGTGCAACTCCATAATTGCAGCCTTGTTCAGCAAGGGTTGAAACTGGATTTTTACAGTCAGTTAACTCCCTTGCAACGGGACGATGGATGTATGTGGTATTTCTCATGTTCACAAAAAGTCAGGAGACAGGCATTTACTAGAGGTGCAACGATACATTACGAGGGTCACGATACAATACATATCACAATACACATATTTACGTTAAATCACTTGGAAACTTCTTCACTATAAATATTTCAGAGCAGGTTTAAAAAGAAAAGCTAGCTGTAGACACATGTTCGTAGCAGCTATTTTTAGTAGTGATCTCTTCGAATCGTTATAAACTTTATTACATGAGGCGACCTACGTGGTGTTTGTTGGTCAGCTTCCTCAGACGGTCAAGGAAGGCCTCTAGGTCCTCCCCGTCACACCGCAGCTGAAAGCCGGGGAACACATGACCTTGACCTTCCTGAAATATAAAATATGATGAATATTATCATCAGTGATCAATAATGATTCATGTATTGTGATACGCACCACATTTTTTTATTCCACCCCACCACCACACACCACCACCCCCTTCATATTTCACAAAAGGGTCACAGTGTTTGCACATTAGAATGTTATCTTCGATTTTCTGGTCAGGTTTGCCTTTTCAAGTTCGAAATGGAAACCCATACATCGTATTTTCCCTGCATATTTTTACCAACTGCGTAGTTGTGTGCCATTGTCACAATGCATTCAGAACAGACAAATGATATAGCACTATAAAATCAGCATACGTTCGAACAAAGTACAAGAAGCCACACACACATGTCGCAATATAATGCAATAATCTTGGACGCGACATTAAACCCCTATTCACCTCACCTCAACTCACTGTAAAGAATATACTTGACCACATGTGACGTAACCATGGTGACCCACCACTTTGTTCATGACGGCCACCTTCCCCCTCCACACTCGGTCATCATCCCATGGGATGCTGGAGATCTGGGAGGTGAAGGAAGCACCTGTAAAATCCCCCAGGTCCTGGAGTGTCTGTGACACACTGTCTGTGATGATTGTGATCTCCGCATTGTGCCAACATGACAGCTTCTTCAGGGCGCCGAACAAAGGGAGGTAACTGCAGCATCACAAATGTCAAGAATCCATTAAGAACCTTTTGACATAGGTTACATGATTAACTAGTTTTCTAAGGTTTTGTACACAAAATGTCCAATTACTCTTTGTTTTTTGTTTAATGCCGCACTCCAGCATGTGGTGATATTCCAGCTATATGACGGCGGTCTGTAAATAATCAAGTCTGGACCAGACAATCCAGTGATTGACATCACGAGCACCGATCCACGCAATTGGGATATGATGACATGCATCAACCAAGTCTGTGAGCCTGACCACCCGATCCCGTTGGTTGCCTCCTGCGACAAACACAGTTGCCTTAACAGCAAGCATGGGTTGCTGAAGACCTATTCTACCCTATTCTATTCTACGAAGTTTCCTATTAAGTATTTGATACCCTACTCCATGATGTGAGAAAAAGTATTAAGAGATGGGTGAGTGAGTGAATGTAACTTAATACCCCCGTCAGCAACATGACAACATTATCACAGTTGTAAATAACGGAGTCTGGGCCAGACAGTGTTACCAGCGACCAGCAACGACCCCTGGGATCTGGGCACGATGATGCCCCGGGTCCTGCAGCCGGACCACAGCATCCTCCCTAGCTGGCTCTTACAACAAGGAGGAGGTGACGCCCAAGTCAGTCACTTAGTGCACAAAGTACATGATCCAGACTACCAGTTGTCGGACTTGCATTTTGTGGAAGCCTCAGTGGCTGTGTGGGTTAGATCGCCGACTTTGTGTGCTGGTGATAAGGTGCCTCACTCTAAGAGTAGGGGTTTGAATCCTGGATGGAGCTCAACCCCCCAAAATACAAGAATTTGTACATTACTGAGACTTTACACATGTAGGTGAAACCATCATGTATTGTACAGGCAAAACAAACTATGCAATGTGAAAAGGTGTCTGAGTCTCAGACATAGACATGTATTCAAATGCTCACCATTCAGCTCCATTTGGGTCCTCCAGGAGAGTTGGTCTGACCAACACAATATGGACATCAACACCTGAAACATTCCAAAACACATTCCTTGTATCATGGAGAGTGGTAGATATGTGTATCATGTTAGGAATGAATTAGTAAAATCCTATAAAAAAATGGTGTCATGGCTCCCATCTTGAAGAGAACATGGAGAAAGTTTTCTGTCCCAGTCGAAAATACATCTGTACATAGTGACTCATCATCATCATCATCATCATCATCATCATCATCGTCATCTAGCATTCCTAGAGCTGTTGCCTTTCTGCAGGTGGGCAGGTGATGGGGAAACAACCAATCTCATTAAAATCAGATCTTAGTTCTCGCTTCCGATAAACAAAGGTCAGAGTACATAACATTAGGGGTGAAGTCAGAACGACCTTATGTTCGACCAATCAGAGCGTTGCTTACCAGATCATGAAAGTGACAGTTGGAATGTGATTTCTAATGGAAAGACAACGAAGTAAGACAACAAGACATACCAGCATAGGGCAGTGACTCCGACACCTGCAGCAGTCTGTGGGACAAACTGTTCTCTTCTGCACCCCTGGAAAACACGTCACATCTGATGATGATTCAACATGATATAGACAATAATTTACAAGTGACGAGGAATGACGGATTATCTGTCCCAAGTGAAATTAAAGTTGTAAATCCCGAGCCTTGGCAGTTTGATTAATGTTCAATAGTAAAAAAATGAATAAAAACTGATTTGGCATTATTGTTTATACGAAATTCAAACGTGTAGTTCAAACTGTTAGCCAGTTTCTATCGGTCGACATGGCTGTCAGTCGCCTCAAGGTCACTAGCTCTCGTGACTACGAAATGATAACCAAAGCTTTTTGTCTGCACATTCTCAACAACATCAAACTGTGTAAACTGATTCTACAACAAGTAAGGTTTATTTGACAGACTCTTTCAAGCGAGCATGTGTCTTACATTTTAAAACAACAGTAAATATTTCAAACTGGAACATTGGAATGTGACGTGGCCTTGACCTTAAACTGAAAGATCTAGACCAGAGTATTTATGCAGCATTTTCATGAAAGTTAAATGTAAATGTCCATTAACCAAGAACATGGGAGCAAGAGTTCATTCTGAGTCGACATGGCTGTCAGTCGCCTCAAAGTCACCAGCTCTCGTGACTACGAAACGATAACCAAAGCTTTTCGTCTGCACATTCTTAACAACATCAAACTGTGTAAACTGATTCTACATGTAAGGTTTATTTGACAGACCATTTCAAGCGAGCATGTGCCTTACTTTTTAAAACAACAGTAAATATTTCAAACTGGAACATTGGAATGTGACGTGGCCTTGACCTTAAACTGAAAGATCTAGGCCAGATTGTTTATGCAGCATTTTCACGAAAATTAAACGTAAATGTCCATAAACCAAGAACATGGGAGCAAGAGTTCATTCTGAGTCCGGAGATATGTCGGCAATGCGCCAACGTTTTGGGACAGTGGATCCAACGTCTGACTCGACAGGCTTGCAAATATGTATGTTGAATATGCCGCCGTAGATCGGGCCAGAAAACAGGCAGTGGATCATATCCTTCTTTTTGTACTGAGGCAGATAGACGAACAACATGGGATTTAGAAGATCTCTCCAAGGTTGGGGTGCCACTGATTGACAAAAGCCTAGCGGAATCTGGAAGTGGGTTGACGGGGTCCATCCGTGCATTGGTATTGGACAGAATGTTGGACATACCACGGTGTTGATCTTCAGTGATTTGTCAATATGTGTTTATCGACTGTATATATTTTTGTGCCCAGACACTTGCATTATTTGGTGGGCTGGAACGACCCTACTGGACAGTGATTGTATCATGTCTTTCCTAGCGCTGTGATTACTAATGCGTTTGTCGGATGAAATTTTGGCTTTGGAAGCCATGTTTTTCATCAATGCACCAAGTTTGTTTTTCCCAACTGGCTGCCTTTTGAACCAGGATTGGCCAGATTTGGGACACCCTCTAGTGTTTGTTGTGAGATATACACGTTGACTGGACAACATGAGGGGCCGTCGGGTTGGGCCCAGGCCTTGGGTGTCACAGCACGACCCCCCTTGGGGTCCTGAACACACCCCCAAGTCATTCTTCTGTGTGTAGACCGAAACAAATTGTATTGTTCCACCATAGTGTTTAATATGGATTCAGGTGTGTTAGAGTCAAGTTGGCCTGCATCTCGGAGTTGTTTTATTTCACTGTTGGAAATAGCTTCTGTTCTGTAAGGTAAGTTACCCTTTCCCTGTTTTTTCAGTGATTTTGTTTTTGACTTGATGACATCCCTTATTTTGGAAAATCCAACTGAATCGGAAAGTGAGAAGACGTAATCTTTGCGTTTTAAGTGACAATCTAAACTGTCCCTGAATCCAGTGAGTGAGATGGGCTCATACTCGGAACCATCCTGTTTCCTAACGCCAATGAAAAACCTGCACATGATCGTGTTAAGTTAAGTGGGAGGGATAACTTCGATCGGGCATTGCTCATTCAGCTTTTCTTAAGAAACTATTTGACAACTCACATGTTGAGCATAGTTTTTTTTAAAGTGTTTGCATTTTCGTTTTCTGCCAGAAATTTGTCAATGTCGCCATCGTGTACATCAACCAATCTTTCTGCTTGTTTTGGAACATCAGCGATGTTATTTGGGGCATCCAAGAAATCATTATCCATCAAATCATCCAGAAATGATTGATTTAGACCGAAATGTTGGGGGCGTGGCAGGCATTGAAGTCACGGTTTCAGGAATCACGCGTAGTCTATAACGAGGGACTTGTCGCTCACACAAGTCAGTTTTCACCACAAAGATGTTGAAACTGTTCCATGGCTGTATTATGTTCACTACACAAGCAATTATCCATCAATCTTCACAAAATCGTTCACTTTTACCGGGGACAACAATGTCGCCATTGTTGTTTACATGCAGGTATAGCAGACAATTTATTCAATCAAGTTTAATCTACAAGTCTCAATAAGGTTTTATGTTCCGTGTATTCATTTATTGTAAACAACATGTGTGAACAATATTTCATTTGAATGAATAGAAAATATAGCCTTCAGAACGCTTTATGTTGTAAATGACAAGTCTCGTATGGCAAAGACGTGTTTGTGGAAAAAGATGAATGAACATGATGAAAGGGAAAATGTAGTCCCAGCAATGCATTATTAACCAATGAAATTACAGGCTTTCTAAAACAGCCAATCGGCATTAAGCAACTGGGAACAAATACTACCCAGCATCTCCGTTCCCATATGGGTTATAACATACAGGATGACTTGCATGATTATCATAAATGTGAAAAACTTATTTCACAAATCTGGGAACTTATTCTTGGTTCCCTACTAGGATGGTGCTACACTGTGCTGCAATCAGCACCACTTCAGCCACATCACAACTGACGTCAATATTTGAGACGTCTAAGATGATTTTACTTGGCTGCTTGTTCTAATCTGGATTCATAGTTCTGGCCCTCTGAGATGCCATGCCACAGTTTAACATGAATACCCCACTCAGACACAGTATACTGACTCCGAGCCGACCAGTCCTTGTCTCAGCCACATGCCAAGCACCAGGCAGGGTAACAACAAGTATGTTCTTGTAACACCTTTTGGTATAAACAAGCGATAGAATCTGACACTAGTCCTATAGTACCTACCAAACTACCCAAGAGTTAAGGTACCAGAAGGATGAGTAGACATTTGCCAATTCTAAGGGTTTTGCTATATCATTAAAATGGTAGTATCTATTGCTAATAACGGGGTCAGAACGAACCAACAACCTTCCTCTCTCTTTGCAGACACTCTACACACTAAACAGGCGAAGTAAATAATTTGGAAAATCAGACAGCTTTCACAGAAAACCATTTAAAAAGAAATAGTAATAAAGACGAACCTGGTGAGACTTAATGAAGTCTAGTTGGACAGTTATGTGGAGAGCATGTGGTGAAATTCAATGAAGTCTAGTTGGACTGTTATGTGGGGACCACATGGTGAGACTCAGTGAAGTCTAGTTGGACTGTTATGTGGAGAGCATGTGGTGAAATTCAATGAAGTCTAGTTGGACTGTTATGTGGAGAGCATGTGGTGAGATTCAATGAAGTCTAGTTGGACTGTTATGTGGAGAGCATGTGGTGAAATTCAATGAAGTCTAGTTGGACTGTTATGTGGAGACCATGTGGTGAGATTCAGTGAAGTCAAGTTGGACTGTTATGTGGAGAGCATGTGGTGAGATTCAATGAAGTCTAGTTGGACTGTTATGTGGAGAGCATGTGGTGAGATTCAGTGAAGTCTAGTTGGACTGTTATGTGGAGAGCATGTGGTGAGATTCAATGAAGTCTAGTTGGACAGTTATGTGGAGAGCATGTGGTGAAATTCAATGAAGTCTAGTTGGACTGTTATGCGGAGACCATGTGGTGAGATTCAGTGAAGTCTAGTTGGACTGTTATGTGGAGAGCATGTGGTGAGATTCAATGAAGTCTAGTTGGACTGTTATGTGGAGAGCATGTGGTGAAATTCAATGAAGTCTAGTTGGACTGTTATGTGGAGACCATGTGGTGAGATTCAGTGAAGTCAAGTTGGACTGTTATGTGGAGAGCATGTGGTGAGATTCAATGAAGTCTAGTTGGACTGTTATGTGGAGAGCATGTGGTGAAATTCAATGAAGTCTAGTTGGACTGTTATGTGGAGACCAAGTGGTGAGATTCAGTGAAGTCTAGTTGGACTGTTATGTGGAGAGCATGTGGTGAGATTCAATGAAGTCTAGTTGGACTGTTATGTGGAGAGCATGCGGTGAGATTCAGTGAAGTCTAGTTGGACTGTTATGTGGAGACCAAGTGGTGAAATTCAATGAAGTCTAGTTGGACTGTTATGTGGAGAGCATGTGGTGAAATTCAATGAAGTCTAGTTGGACTGTTATGTGGAGACCATATGGTGAGACTCAGTGAAGTCTAGTTGGACTGTTATGTGGAGACCATGTGGTGAAATTCAATGAAGTCTAGTTGGACAGTTATGTGGAGACCATATGGTGAGACTCAGTGAAGTCTAGTTGGACTGTTATGTGGAGACCATGTGGTGAAATTCAATGAAGTCTAGTTGGACTGTTATGTGGAGAGCATGTGGTGAGATTCAGTGAAGTCTAGTTGGACTGTTATGTGGAGACCATGTGGTGAGACTCAGTGAAGTCTAGTTGGACTGTTATGTGGAGAGCATGTGGTGAGATTCAGTGAAGTCTAGTTGGACTGTTATGTGGAGACCATATGGTGAGACTCAGTGAAGTCTAGTTGGACTGTTATGTGGAGAGCATGTGGTGAGATTCAGTGAAGTCTAGTTGGACTGTTATGTGGAGACCATGTGGTGAGACTCAGTGAAGTCTAGTTGGACTGTTATGTGGAGACCAAGTGGTGAAATTCAATGAAGTCTAGTTGGACTGTTATGTGGAGAGCATGTGGTGAGACTCAGTGAAGTCTAGTTGGACTGTTATGTGGTGAGATTCAAGAATGTGATCACTGACCTGTCTTTTTCCTCTATCTCATCACCAGGCGACTCCTTCCCATACTGGTCCAGACTGAGATCCCCAGGAGACACCCAGCTTCCACCATGGAGCTGCAGGTACAGGTAACATTACACACATATATCCTGAGGTGCAGGGGGTGAACCCCCCTTTTCCAGGTCACCTTGACGGTGTCAATGTCAGATCATGTCTGTCTACTGAATATACTCAACATATCAATGTCATGGTCTGCATGTCTGTCTACTGAATATACTCAACATATCAATGTCATGGTCTTCATGTCATGTCTACTGAATATACTCAACATATCAATGTCATGGTCTTCATGTCCGTCTACTGAATATACTCAACATATCAATGTCATGGTCTTCATGTCTGTCTACTGAATATACTCAACATATCAATGTCATGGTCTTTATGTCTCTAGCTACAATTAAGTAAACTTTTCAGTTACAAAAATTCAAATGGCAGCTACAAGTGAGTGAGTGAGTGAGTGAGTGAGTTGAGTTTAATGCCACTTTGAACAGCATTCCAGTTATATCACGGCGTGTCAGCTTACTTTTGGAGGAAAGCCCGAAGTGAATCAGGTCTCAGACGTTTACCACTTCGGTGAAACCCACGAGCATGGGTATGGTGCTGACAAACCGAGAAACATAAGCGGGTCAAACCGAGATTCAAACTCACAATCATAGGTTCCTGGCTTGCCCAAGGGGAACACAGTGAATTGCAGCATGTAAAACAAAATATGGGGTCAATCAAAACAATACTTCCCCAGTTGTTACGAGAATGTAAAAGATTAGCAAAACTATTGTATCCAATTATTTGGTGCTAGTCTTGCAAAATAATCTGCAGTTCAACTTCTTATTTTTTCAATGCAACATTCGGTACAGATACTAGTACCTATATCATACAGACTGGGTGATCATCCTCCAAGTTTTACGCGATGCACAAATGTGCATCCAGTATGCACAAATGTAGAGAACGGACACAGAGAAAAAAATACTGTCTCGCGCAGAACGCACAATATTATTCATTGTACCTAGAGCACATCAAGAGCAGTTATTGGTTTCTGTCATTTTCATCTGTCAGTCATGACCACTGTCAACGTGATCACTGATTCAGTCCAGACTCTTAAAGGGCAAGTTCACACGGAAATGAACCAATTTTTCTTGTACTTTTTCCACATTAAAAGTGTTAACATAGAAGTGTCATAGACAAAAATATAAAAACATCAAATTTAATTAACATATTTTTTGCATTAAAACGATTTATATTTTTCACATTTACCAAGTGTTCTATTTCCATAACAAAAACACCATGGCTTTATGCCCCTTGCAATATGACGTCATTGGTGCCAATTGATAAACATTATGACGTCATCATGCTTTGTTAGAGCCGCTTCACGTGGTGTAGGTACAGGTGTGTGATTCTAGCGTCTCAGATGCCAGCCAGAATTGTGTTATCCTGAGTCACCACTGCGCCGAGTGTGTCGTAGACCATGTTGTTTTACCGCAAACTGGTCTTTGATATCTTTTGCGTTGAGAATAGACAGGGACCCAGTTGAATTGGCACCAATTACGTCATAATCTAAGGGGGATAACTCAGGCCTATTTCGATCCTAAAACGAAGGCTTCATAACGGCATATCATTTTAACACTATTGTGAGCTTCTTACTTTCACTGTGAAAAAAATGAGTGTATATTTTCAAACACAGATACTAACTAAAATTGCGTTTTGTTTAGAAAAAGAAAGAAAGTGATTTTTGCGTGTACACTTCCCCTTTAAGTAATTATCAAAACATACAGTGCACTACACCATGTCATAACCTTACACATCTACCGGAGGCAAGGGCATTTACTGACTGTAATAGTCCAGTTTCCACCCTTGCCAAACTAGGCTGGTATTCCTCAGTTACATTTTGGCTGAACTAACGAGTCTATGCATAGTCCAATCAAAATCGCATAACAAACAAGACATCCCGTTCGTAAACATGTATTATAACGTGCAGATTTCAGTCGACTGCAGGAATTGCAAAGCATGTGTACGCTCAACTGGGAATCGTCAGACATTTTTGGTATTTTTTTTTCACGTTTTTAAGATGCTCAAGTGATTTGATGCACTTCCTCAGGTAAGACCCTGTTTTATTACAAAACAGATCTTGATTATCGATCAGATCGTCTTGACTATGCACCGCCATTTTGTCTGAAGCAAATGCAAGTAATATAAGAGATGGAAACTTATTAATAATTATTGGGGTCCCTCAGACGAATTGTTTAGGTCAAGATAAAACCCTGCATCCGTATAAGAAGTTCTTGCCAAGTTGTTGTTGACTTGCTTGGACTCCAGCATCAAAATTAACACTCTTATTATGTTATCTTACAATGTATTAACCACTGTTAAGTAAGAATTGTGAGATAACTGTCTGTATTTACCTCTGCTGTCTTGAACAGGTTGTCTGTGCACAGGACTTGAGCAAGTGGTGAATTGAGACACTTTTCACCTGTGCTCTGTTTTTTCACCAAGTGTTCCAGGCATTGATGAATAGTATCAACAGCTCCAGGATCTGAAATATATTCACTTATGTTTAGTGTATGAATGGCCTTAGGCACAAACACAAAGTATGCACACTGGTACAGAGTATTAAATACATAGAATTCACATTAGCACATTAGCACATAAGCATGCATAGCATTGCTGGGACAAGTGTCATAGCGACTGATTTGGGACAACCACTGTCTGAATGAACACTAAATTCAGGCAATGGTTGTCTCAAATCAGTTGCTATGACACGAGTCCTAATTTTATGCCTAGGTCTCAAGCGTTGGGTACAAAATGGCCAATCAGGAAGGGTTTTACCGGGGCTATGGCAAAAACTATTTAGATACATGTCTAACATGATCTGTTCATGCTTACACTGAACATTGCTCGTGAATAAAACAGGAAATGGCGTGTGGGCATGGTAATTTTTGTTTAAAGTAATTATGTTGATTTTTATTTCATTTCTTTACAAAATTGAACTGTGAAATGAAAGAGTTTCCCCATCAGTTGCATGTTCCACTTTCGCTCAATGACTTCCTGTTGTAAAACCAAGCGACATTATTCAGTGATTTCCGTTGACTATCTTATAGATGAGATGTTCAAGATTGCATGAAATCCATTTGAATGTACTCTTTTCTTTCTGTATTTTGATGGAATATTTTGTAGGCCTTGCGTTTGAATGTAATCGCATCTGTTCACATTTTCGGTATATTACAAATATTACGTAGGTCATGTGTTTCAAACGGAAGTGGTTAATCGTGCTAGCAAACAGATGATCACTATTTGTCAAAATGGAAGTCTCAAAAAACCCCATTATTTTTTATTCTTCAAGCCTACAGCTGTAACTTCAAATAAAGGTGGGGGCACGAGGGGCCCAGTCGTCTAAGGCGCCGCGATTTCATGTGCAGAGTTGCGTCCCTTGGGCATGCCAGAAACCTATGATAATGGGTTCGAATCCCGGTTCGCCCCGATTATGTTTCTAGGTTTGTCAGCACCATACCCGTGCTCATGGATTTCACCGAAGTGGTAAATGTCTAAGACCTCCCATATTAAGCTGACATGCCGTGATATAACTGGAACACTGTTAAAAGCGGTGTTAAACCCAACTCACTCACTCACTCTAATAAAGTGAGTGAGTGGGTGAGTATGGTTTTACGCCGCTTTTAGCAGTATTCCAGCAATATCACGGTGGGGGACACCACAAATCGGCTTCACACATTGTACCCATGTCGGGAATCAAACCCAGGTCTTCGGCATGGCGAGCAAACGCTTTAACCATTAGGCTACCCGACCGCCCCCTCTAATAAAGGTACTGCAGACAACGAACAAGGTAAGCAGCATATATTGCTGCATGCTAATATCAACATTAAAATTAGCATTCCTGAGAAGCAAAACTTGAATGCAGACATGACTGACACATGTGATAGTACAGATGAACCAAAGCCACAATTATCTAAACATAAGTCAACACGAGATATCCCCAGTAACTGGCCTCTTCCAAAGTACAAATCGGGGTTAATATGTGACAGGGAGAAAGAACATTTTTTTTCAAAATTTGCAAGGAGTATAGTCAACCAGCTGGAAAAGTTGGAATAACAAAACAATTCTTCAAAGATCCAAGGAGTTTCAGAACCAACAAACTTGAAACACATTTATTTCACTCGTATTCGACGTAATAAGCGCCCCGCTCTCATAAGCGCCCACGGTGATATTTGCTAATATTTTGGCTAGTGAACTATCCCAATTAGCACCCCTTCCGATTGATCAATGTACACAAGACTTATTTATTCGTGTATAATACGCACTAATGTGTTATATGCACCCTTAATTATGGGCAATTGAATTCTGGAAAAATATATCTGTTGTACATGAACATTTCAGGCAGTCATTTACGATCTTTCAAATCTTGTCTTTTTCCCCAAAATAATTCTAGAGCCCCCTAGTTGTAATTTTGAAGAGCGCCCTGGGCGCTTATTACGTGTAATATTTTGATCTAATGGATTAACTGCCTTTTGTTATAATTATTGGGTAACATAGACAAGGCACACCTAAATTAAAATGGGACATCTGAAACCAGGTCCAGTGCTCTCGCTGGGGCACACCTGATTTTCTTTCTAGTTACGAGCCCTGCTGAAAACATATACGTGATATCAAAGTCGGAAGGAATGAGTGCATAGTCAGAAAGAAATTAGAGATGAACATGATGAAGTGCAAGATAGTGTTAAGTGTCATGAAACATGATATCATGTGTCTAATCACAGGTCTGGCCCTGCCCCAGCACATAGCTTAAATTCATGGCATACATCACTAATTGGCAGTTAATGGTTTTCAGGGTTGCGTTGAAAACATCAAGAGATGTCCCATCTTTCCGAGGCAAGAGAGTTAACTGACTTTAAAAGACCAGTTTCCGTCCTTGCAGAACTAGGCTGGAATTCCTGGGCTCGATCGTAGTGCCATCAGTGGCTATTACTAGTTAAGTCCCTTCTATGCCTCTCCTATGGACCAATCAGATACCATCTCTCGTATCACTTGTATTTGCTTCAAACAAAATGGCGACGCCCAGTCAAGACGATCTGATCGATAATCAAGATCTATATTGTGATAAAACGAGTCTTACATCGCGAAGTGCATCAAATGACGTGAGCACCATGATTAAAAACATTAAAAGAACTAGAAAATATCTGTTGACAACGAGTTGGCAGTGTGAATGTTTTGCAAATCCTGCAATCGACTGAAAATCTGCATGACAGTTTACGAACCAGATTTCGATTGGACTATGCATATACTCGTTAGTCCAGCTAAAATGCAACTCTATAATACCAGCCAAGTTCGGCAAGGTTGAAACTGGTCTTTTCTAGTCAGTTAACTCACTCACCTCGGGAAGATGGAGACGTCCAAGTACCTTCATTTTTACTGTTTATATTGACGGAAAGTTTGAATGTTGTTTTACTGTATTCAGCAACATTGTACTTAATTTCCAGCTGCTGAGTATTGGCTGCCTGTAAATTATCAAGTCTGAGCCACATAAACAAGTACATGCAGTTTCATGCTGTAGGAGCAGCATCCCCCTTCACTGGGGTACACTGACACGCACTCAACCAAGTCACTGAGCATGACGACACATACCAATTAAGGATTGTAACACAGGTACAATGATCAAGTGGTTACCATGGTTACAGTCGAACATAACCACTGATAACTTGTTCTTATCATTAACTATTAAAATATATATATATTTTGTAAAGGTATGAAAGTTCGACCATCTAAGTCAAATATTGTTGGTACACCAGAATTCCTTCACCACACAATTTCAATTCACTAGTTGTAAGGGTCAACAATACTTGTTTGTAACTTAGAACTCCATGCCTATATTTCCCATGCTGTAAATCTTGAAATTAAAGAGAGCGTGAATTAATTGCGAAAAAATGCTAGTGGACTTCGCTCGCATTAATTAACTTCACATTTATGTCTCCAAAATTACTATCAACAATAAGACAGCCTCACTGCACACTTAGAATAGCGTAAATACCAACTTGTATATAAACACAAACACAGCAGTTGTAGGTGGAGAGGTGAGGTGAAATTGGGTTAACGTCGCGTCCATGATTATTGCACTTATATAGCGACCTGCATGTACGTGTGTGTGTTTGTGTGGCTGCTTGTACTAGTCTGGGCTGATGCCGATTTATAGTGCTAGCTCACTGAGATACCATGCCGCAGTTTAACATGGATACCCCAATCAGACACAGTGTACTGAATCCGAGCCGATCAGTCCTTGTTTTAGCCCCTTAATGCCAAGCGCCAGACAGGGTAACAACAAGTACCATCTTTTAATGTCTTTTGGTATGACGCGGAAGAGGATCGAACCCCCGACCTTCCGCTCTCTGGGCGGACGCTCTACCACTAGACCACAGAGGCGGTCCACAGCAGTTGTAACAATTAAGTTATCACAGCTTGGGTAAAGAGTACTACACACTCGTGTCAAGCTTGTTGACACCTTATCGGCATACCAACCAGTGAACTGTTGTTGGTTCAATTATTTTATTGCCTTTGAACTTCCTAAATGCCAGTCAACCGAGTTAACATATAACAACTACCGTATTCGACGTAATAAGCGCCCAGGGCGCTCTCAAAATTAGAAATAGTGGGCTCTAATTAGAATATTATTTTGGTGGAAAAAACAGAACTGAAAGATCGTAAATTTCATTTATGCTGACAGCCTGAAATGTTGACATACGACAGATATATTTTTCCAGAAATTAATTGCCCATAATTAAGGGTGCATATAACACATAAGTGAGTATTATACACGATAACATAAGTCTTGTGTACATTGATCAATCGGAAGGGTTGCTGATTGGGATTGTTCACTAGCCAATATGTTAGCAAATATCGCCATGGGCGCTTATTAGAGCGGGGCGCTTATTACGTCGAATACGGTATGTGGTTTTTTGTTGTTGTTTTTTTATATTGAGTCGCATTTTTTGATAGGGGTCAGCAGTGGCATTAATTTGGAGACGCATTAGGCCTATAACCCTGACATAGATTCAATGATACCTGTATATATAAACTGCCGTGGTTAACTGGGCATGTGACCGGCACGTGAAATTATACCAGTGTCTTACACACACTGACACACACACTGATACTGTCAACATTTAGTAACACGTACCTGATGTTTTCGCAATAAACAATATATATGCCATCACCCCTACAATGACAATATTAGCCCGTTCTTCTGATAAATGGTGGTGAATTCGCCGATCATCGCGACCGTGCATGAACTTTTAACATCATTCAATGATGATCTCAGACAACATTGGATATGTTTTGAAAACGGCGCTAGAAGGGGTATTACAAAAGTTGTACGGGAAATTCCACGTGAGACGAAGAAAAAGATGGATCGTGAAAGTTACGAAACGTTGTATTCTTAACACATAACCGTTACATACGACAATTTCGTTTGTTATATCAGAATACACGTGTTGTAGTATATGACAATAAGATATTGTTCAGGCCACACCTATAACCTTAGTGTATTTTTTTTCGACGGAAATATGTCACAGATGTACGTGTTCATGACGGAGCAGTTACTTCCCTTGATTAGTGCTTCGATCGACGATATTGCTACAGTTCCGTACGCTGTTCACTGCGAAACATTCAGGTATGGGTTGTCCTTTGACATAACACTGTTCGTGCCATTTGTATATATGATACCAGACATGGTCAGACATAGATGTGTATATCTGAGAGCATCCGCGCTCCTTCTATACTATTTCCGCCTTGCGATGCCTACCATGGTCAGGCGAGTATGTAATCCCCAAGCAGAGACCATATATGTATATATATATACAAGCTAGGTGTATAGTGTATACACTTACCAACATTTTCTTGACATTAATTTATAACATTGTGTCATGGATTGTTGACAATACAAGAAGGTACTGATTCTCATATATGCAATATTTAGTTTGTCATCACGTGAGCTTTGCTAGCTGTGACATGACCCCTTGGTCATATATTGAAGGAAGCGACACTAAAATCCTAAACATTGCTATATTTATGTCAACTTGTTGTGTGACAGCGGAGAGAAAGTGGTATCGGTTTCTGTTTGTTGTTTAACGCCACACTCAGCAATATTCCAGCTATATGACGGCGGTCTGTGAATAATCGAGTCTGAACCAGATAATCCAGTGATTGATAACATAAGCATCGATCCACGCAATTGTGATACAATGACATGCATCAACCAAGTTAGCGAGCTTGACTACCCGATCCCGTTAGTCGCCTCTTACGACAAGCATAGTCGCCTTTTACGGCAAGCATGGGTTGCTGAAGACCTATATATTCTACCCCGGATCTTCACGGGTATGGTATCGGTAACAAGGTTGCTTGAATGTAATCAGACAAGACGCCCCATCCACATTGTAATCGAAAAGTTCAAAGTGTCAAGTGATTAAATTCCCCTAAATAATGAAGACACCACACGGGTACCCATTCTTCTTCCTAAATGTCCTGATCCCTTATTGTTGAGATAAGATAACACTTTAAAACAAATATATTATCCGGAAGACAATTTGGTTTACATCAGCCCAAGGTATCAGCTTATTGATAAAAATACATACAAGTAAATAAGAGCATCACAAACGTATTTAACATGACACGTGGCACCAGCGAATAAATACTCATGAGGAAAATTTATTTTTATCACAAAATGTTAAATTGTTATAAAACCTGGTACTAGTTAGTATGAATGAGTTCCAGCCCTTTTTGTTCTCAAGCCCAGTCGACGGCCAAAAGGAAGAAATTAATACTCCGAATGTAAAGCATGCGAGATATCGCTTGTTTTGTTTTTTGCTTTATTAACTATTTACATTTCACAAATATACTATTCTCTAACTATAGACAGTTTACTAATTTTAGCTTTTGTGCTAAATGCTTGAGTGCTGGCAGATTCACCAGACGACCTTTTCCCCACCATATACGTGTTAATTTGACAGGGCTGTGTCAATTTTTTGTTTTCTTTTTTTTCAGAGGGTAATGGCACCGTGACGTCTGGCTAGTATTTCGATCATATTGCCGGTCATGTACTGAACTGTGTAGGGGTAGGTTCATAGACCAAGGGCCAAGTCATTGATTCTTTATGGAGACTAACGAGGATTAAATGCTTGACTAGGGTCTATTTAGGTATCATCTCCGTTCGTTATGGAACCAGGTTGTTCGAATGAAACAAACACTAGCTCCCCTTGCAAGCTTGATTGTGACTTGCTCGTCACCAGAGTGAAGTCCTCTGACACGAAAGGAGTGCGTGAATGGCTGGAGACATGGAAACAGACTCCTGACCTTTGCAGATCTTTCCTAGCTTGTAAACCGGATATCGTCTGCTCAGCAGCAGAGGCGGGAAGCCCGGAGATAATCGACCTGCTGGTTTTGCATGGATTTAAAGTTTATTGTACTTCTGTACACGCAGCAGCGTGTAGAGGTCATCTAAAGGTCATGCAGAAACTTGTCGATGAATTGGATCTTTCTGTTGATAGTGAGGACGCTGAAGGTCGCACACCATTAATGTGGTCCGTATATTGGGGACATGTCGACATTGTGGCGTATCTGTTGTCAAGAGGCGCGTGTGTAGATTATGTTATGAAAGATATTGGGGTGACGTCTTTGTTTATTGCTGCATATCTGGGGTATACCAAAATAGCACGACAACTCTTGGACGCAGGAGCGGACGTCAATAAGATCGTTAGACCAGTTGGTTGTGCCTTCAACAAAGCCGTGTCAGTAAACAAGATAGATATGGCTAAATTACTCGTTGAAAAAGGCGCCAAAATTGACATTCCAACAGAACATGGACAGAACGCTTTCTACCTGGCGCTAGTAATGAATCCAGATGTTGAAATGGTAAAGTTTCTTCTAGAGATTAACTTCCCATTGAATGAATCTAATGACAGGGGTCATACTGCTGTCTTTGAAGGGCTGTGCACAGCCCCCAGCAGTGAGGTTCTCCTTTGGGTACATCTTGTGGTTCAGTCCGGGTACCGTGTTACCAAGAGAGACTACGAAAAGGCACGTGCTAGATTTGCAAACACCGAGGGCAAGCTGGTTCTGGAACAGCTGAAGACGTATATGGTAAACACGAGGACCCTCCAACAACTGTGTTCGTTTAAGATACGCCAGATTCTTGGTGTCAGTCCATCACCCCGAGTGCGTCGTCTTCCTATTCCAGCAAAGTTGAAAGATTACATTGAACTGAAACATTTGACGTCGTAAGACTGTGGGTTATGCACGTGGTTAAAGTTCTTTGTTTTGTCTTCCTGTGTCTGATGATGATGTTTAATATGCTTGGGTCAGTTCCATACAATATAATATGATACGTGATGAACTAACTGTTGCTTTTCTTTGTTTGATGATGCACTCAACACTATTATTGCTACACAATAACCTGTAAATAATCGAGTCTTGACCAGACAATCTAGAGATTGATATTGTGAGGAAGGATCTCATGATAATTTGTCCCAGATAATATTTGTAAAAATAATTATGCTTCAGACTGTGGAAAAGACGTTTACAGCTATAAACATATTTTTTAATAGCATATATTGAGGCTTATAGGTTTCATTGAAACAATATGTTGCTTTCAGATGTAGGCTTTGCAGATGTAGGCTTTCAGATGTAGCTGAACCATACCTCGTCTCTTGACAAAGCCACTTTACCCCATTCCCGAAGAATATCAAATGGTCAGTCCGTTACTATATCAGGGCAGAGAAGGGGCGGCGGGCTAGCCTAGTGTTTGCGCGTTCGCTCGTCACCCCGAAGACCCGGGTTCGATTCCCCACAATGTCTAAAGCCTATTTCTGGCGTCCCCAGCCGTGATATTGCTGGCATATTGCTAAATGCGTCGTAAAAACAAACTCACTGACTCACCCAGGACAGACACGGTTCTCGGTACCTCATACTTGTTGCAAGAGCAGGTAACCGAGGTTAGGGTATTTACACTGTATGACCCAAGAGCAGGTAACTGAGGTCAGGGTATTTACACTGTATGACCCAAGAGCAGGTAACTGAGGTTAGGGTATTTACACTGTATGACCCAAGAGCAGGTAACTGAGGTTAGGGTATTTACACTGTATGACCCAAGAGCAGGTAACTGAGGTTAGGTAATTTACACTGTATGACCCAAGAGCAGGTAACTGAGGTCAGGGTATTTACACTGTATGACCCAAGAGCAGGTAACTGAGGTTAGGGTATTTACACTGTATGACCCAAGAGCAGGTAACTGAGGTTAGGGTATTTACACTGTATGACCCAAGAGCAGGTAACTGAGGTCAGGGTATTTACACTGTATGACCCAAGAGCAGGTAACTGAGGTTAGGGTATTTACACTGTATGACCCAAGAGCAGGTAACTGAGGTTAGGGTATTTACACTGTATGACCCAAGAGCAGGTAACTGAGGTCAGGGTATTTACACTGTATGACCCGCTTGGTAGTGTGGCGTGGTGACCGAATTGATTTGTAGGTTGCCACGTGATTTAGAATTGAGGGTACATTGAGTACGCACATCCTTATTAGTGTCCTTCCCTTAGTGTCTTTACGATCGCTGTTCTTAATTGTCCATATCACATAATAACGACTGCGATCAATAACTTTACACGAGTGATGGGTAATCTATATGAGAAACATATTGATGTCAGGTTTGTTTTGTGCCGGTAAAAGTCCAAATATTGGATGTACTCCAACAACTTTGCAACACGTCTACTGTTTATTACCGATTTTGGGGGCGGTCGGGTAGCCTAGTGGTTAAAGCGTTCGCTCGTCACGCCGAAGACCCGGGTTCGATTCCCGACATGGGTACAATGTGTGAAGCCCATTTCTGGTGTCCCCCGCCGTGATATTGCTGGAATATTGCTAAAAGCGGCGTAAAACCATACTCACTCACTCACTCACTCACTCACTATTACCGATTTTGTGGGGAGGGTTGAGTAGCCGAGTGACGTTAGCGTTCGTCAATAAGATTGTGTGTGTCGGGGGGTGGGGGTGGGGGGTGGGGTGGGGGATGGGGATGGGGGTGGGGCGGGGGATGGACACCAGAAACGAGCTTCACACATTGTACCCATGTTGGGTATCTGACCCGTGACGTTCGCTTTCGCTTTAACCACCAGCCAACCTACCTCTCTACTAAGGTTGTACCTGGCGTAGGACTCAGGTATTCCAGGTCTTTTTGTAGTTTATTTTGGTAAGCCATACTGGGTAGCTGCAGAGTGTATGTGTAAGCCCTTGTCATCAGGAGAATCAAAGGTGCCTGCAAGCCTGTTGAAACAATGAATAGCCTACTTTGGTGTCATCGTCCTCCCATGGTGGGTATCGATGCCTATACCATCGACCACACACATTAACGCGCTCACTCTCGACAAAGAGCCAAGGGCACTGTAATGTTATTCTGTCCTCAAAACCGGGTACTTCAATCTTCATTCAAACTTGTTTCTATCTTTTCAGATGCATGCCAAGACAGACATAGGTAACTGCTTGTATGAATCGAGACAAATTATACAGATTTATGAAATATGACTGCTGTTCGCGATTGTCATGTATATGAGACCTTGATAGACTGTATCAAAACTAAGGATTTGAATTCGGTGGAGAAGTTGCTTGACTCCACAACCGAGAAACTCCAAGCTATCAAAAGTTTTCCACTATCGTTACCGGACCCACTCTGCACTGCAGCGGAAGTCGAAGACGACGCCATCTTTAATTTGTTGTTGTTATCGGGGTTTGACCCAGATCGGTTTGCCTCAAACGACGAAAGAGGTAATGTGATACGCCTGAAACCCATTCACATCGCAGCTTGTCGAGGCAATGTTAACATCGTCAGAAGGTTGGTCGATTACCATGGAGTTTCCGTCGACTCGCCCGATAGCAAAGGCAAGACGCCATTGTTATGGGCGGTGTATCGTCACAGTAAGAATGTGACGCAGTACCTCATTTCCCATGGTGCTAATGTGAATCAGAAAGACACTTCCGGTTTGACCCCACTGTACATGTCGATAGGCAAATTCCATAGCCTGGACACGTTCAAGATGCTGATTAAGTCTGGTGGCGATATAAACGTGAAGGTTCGTTCTAGATGCTTGTTTTACAAGGCAGCCGTCATTGGAAGGCTGGACAAGGCCAGGATACTCTACGATCATGGAATAGACCTCAGTGAAGTGTGTGTTGATTTGTGGATGAGGATCAGTATCATTCTGATAAAGCTTCTAATTGAAATTAATCTGCCGCTTGTCAATCCCAATGACAAAGACACCTCGCCTCTTGAGATGGGTCTGGGGAGGACTGTGCCAAGCGTGAGCACTCTGGCATGGTTGCAGCTGCTGGTGTCGGCAGGTCATCCGGTCAGTCGAGCGGCATTGGATATAGTCAGTGACAGGTATTCAGGCGACTATGCGGAATCCATACAAAGACACATACAGTACTATGTCTCAAATCCCAGGACTCTTCAGGAATTGTGTTGTTTCAAAATCCGGGAGATTCTTGGTGGTCGCCTTCCTCAACAAGCTGATTATCTCCCCTTGCCGCCGGCAATGAGGCGATGTGTTCGCTTGGAAAACCTTTACAAAACACTTTGAGGGAGTGAGTGCGTATCGATGTACGCCGCTTTTAGCAATTTTCAAGCAATATAACGGCGGGGGACACCAGAAATGGGCTCCACACATTAAATATTGTACCCATCTAGGTAATCGATCCCGGGTCTTCGGCGTGACGGGCGATCACTTTAACCACTAGGCTACCCCAGTGCCCAACACAACACTTCAAGCAAGATGATATGGTTTTATGAACATGTCTGGTTAGGTCGTGAGAAGAGGACGACTTATTCAACAGTTTAAACAGGCGTGTAGTTGTCCACTAATTATCCTGCAAGTTAAAACATAATCATAGGTAAGACAGTATTCCTTGTGGTAGCTTATTATCTAGTTCCATACCTTCTCAATACAACATCCAACTAACCAATATCAGACTCTTGCTCCTCTCGTGGCAATTTTTGCAACTGGGTCCCGTCTAAGCGCAAACGGGCACAGTTAAAAGAATTGTCAAATCGTTGCAATGATTCACGATTATTTCTCCCATGTCACATATCGTCCATATGCTCATCGGACTTACGGTATTTATACAGTATGATTGAACACATTTAACTGTATCTAGGGTATATTTTAAGATGCAAGACAAGTAAAATCTAAAACTATTCCTGGGGGATTCTTTGACCGAAGTACTTGAAGTCATACGCGCATTCTGATTGGTTTCTCGTGTTTGCGCACATAACATTCATCGAGTCTTCTTGCAGGTTGTGGAAAGGGGCGAGTGGTGACGAATGATATCAGATCTGAAGTGTAACCTTCACTATAAACCCATTGTGGATAATGACTTTGTTGCATATTCAACGTTCAACACATCAGTTTTATAGACGTGGCGTTACTTAGATGTCTTGTGGTACCTGGTGTTTACCTGTAGTTTTGGCACCACTCGTGTCTTTCCGGTCACGGAAAGTGGCGAGTGATGGCGAGTATGTATTAGAGTCAATAACCTGTGGACACGAACGAGATAATTAGCTTTGAGCTTATTACACTGTATTATGACTTCATCTTTTACTGATTCTATTTATATCTCGATTCTATATACATTCACGTTTTGAATATATTTATGATATTAAAATTGTTGTGATTATTTCATAGTAAAGAGGGCGGTCGGGCAGCCCAGTGGTTATAGCGTTCGCTAGTCACGCCGAAGACCCGGGTTCGTTTTCCGACATGGGTACAATGTGTGAAGCCCATTTCTGGTGTCCCCCGCCGTGATATTGCTGGAATATTGCTAAAAGTGGCGTAAAAAATCACTGACTCACTCATAGTAAAGAAACGTTCCGAAGGTAATAACTTGACGTGTTGGGTGCCATGACGGTTGCACCTGAATGACCGTTTCAAATTTGAGTTTAATTAGAGTTCATCTATTGTCAAATGTGAAGAAACGATATATTAACATGTTATAAGATCAATTTGATCGTTGAAAAACGTATGGATGACAAGAAAAATACAATTCCTAATATTGGTTGAAGGTACATTGTCAATGTTGAAAATGCTAATTGAGTATATCTATTAATGTTTAATGTTTTTTTAACAAGAAGGTTTTATCGATCCTCAAACACCATTAATGACATAAAAAACGCATTCTTATTGCCACCCGTAATTGTGAGTTACTTACTAAATACAATAGCTAGAAAAAATATTGTTACCAAATTTGAGTGGGTTAAACGCCGCTTTTAACAGTATTCCAGTTATATCGCGGCTTGTCAGCTTAACGTGGGAGGAAAGCCCAAGGTAATGCAGGTCTCCGACGGTTACCACTTCGGTCAAACCCACGAGCACGGTTGTGGTGCTGACAAACCTAGAAACATAATTAGGGCGAACCCACAATCAGGTAGGTACGCAACTCTGCACAGCGAATCGCGGCGCCCTAGACGACGGGGCCGCCCGTAAGTGTGGAGTCATGTTATCCATCATGCCGCTTATGTTTTGAACTTTTATGTGTGGACTGTATCGTGTTTACGCTCGTGCTTTAAGCCACTTCATGAAACCTATGATCATTGGTTCGATGCGTGCTGATTTTGTTTCTACGTTTGCCAGGTTTGCTATAACTGAAATACTCTTTAAAGCAGCGTTAAACCAAATTCACTCACTCACTGGCGTCATGTGAGGTCTTGTTTTCTTGACCTACATTCGAACCTCATGTCGAAATCGTGGGAACCTTCACAAAAGTCAGAATTTGTCAGGGCATTTTATGCTTTATTTAAATACTTGGGACCCCGAAATGGGTTCGGCACAACCGGAAATTCGACACATCCAAGTTTGACACAGCAGCTGAGAAGAGACATACTTGAAGTCATGGAGCCCAGGCACTGTGTGGACATGGTGGTGTTTTTTACGCTCCGAGAATGTGCAGTACAATGTCTACTGCCATGTTCGTGGCCAACTCGATATTGCATGGTCCCTTTTAACCAGCGAAGATAACAAGTTAATGAGTGTCGAAAGGACTCATACAAATGAAAACTCCAAAGCTGTCGGAGATTCGGCAGTTTTAATTTGGCATTGAAGTTGAGCTGACTATTGAAATGACCGAGTTTGTCTTTGTTTCGTATTGGAGCTTTGAGGTGGTTGAGCGTTCCCCGAGGGCTTGTGTCGATTCCCGGCGTGGGCGCAACATGTGAAGACCATTACTGCTACCCTCCGCAGTGACGTAGCTGAGAGCGGCGTAAGACCATACTCACTTTATACAAGAGTGTCACATTAGTCTGTGAGGTGTTTGAGTTTCACGTAATCCTTCACTTGTGCTGGTAGGGGGAGGTAACCAACACGCTTTGGCAGATGGGTTCCTAGAATCTGACGAACCTTGAAACAGGCCAGCTGTTGAAGTGACCTGACATTGGCCAGAAGGTTCAGCAGCTCCGGCCGTAGAGTCTCCCCCAGGTCCGCGGGAATATTGCAGGCTGCGTCGTAGTCGCCCCGCCTCACCTCGTACCCTGCTTCAGCCAAAAGTCGCACGTACCTCGGAGGTAGGAATAATTTGCCCCTGTCACATAACACACCACGCAGAGCAGTACGCCCTTTAGAACACACCTCATTTAGAGGCGCATTGACCCTTATGAGGAACTTCAGCACTTTAACATGAACAGGCATCTGTAAGGCAAAGTGGAGGATGCTGAATCCATTGTTTTCATCACGTATGTCGACTCTTGCTCCATTGTTGCACAGCAGATGCATCATATCAACATGGTTTAAACGTGCGCATGTATTCAACAAACAACCTTCCCCTCTAACCTTGCAGTTGACGTCGGCGCCATGTTGTATCATAAGTGTTGCCAGATCCAGCTTGTTGGAAGACACTGCTGACTTGAAGGGCGACTGGGGTCGGTGTGGACGGTCACAATCCGCTCCTTGAGACAGCAAGTACTGTACAATGTCAGTGTGGTGGCCAGAAACAGCATACCCCAGAGGCGTCTGGTGGAGGGAGTCCTCCGTGTCTACTGGCACGTCGTGGTCATTCAGCATCGCCATCAACATCCCCAGTTGTCCAGACTTGGCAGCTGTGTGGATGGGTCGCACGCTCCGACGTTTGCCGCGTGTGAGTCTGTTGGCTTGGAAGCCATGACGCATCAGGAGAGTAAATATGGACTTGCTTCCATCCGAAACAGCAACATGGACGGGGTCTCGAAGATTCTCGGGGAACTCCCTTCCTCGCCCATGTAGACCTGTGTTGTGTCTGAACCATTCCTTGACAACTCTGACGTCCTTTGTGGTGACTGATTCAGTTAGAATTTCCCAGTTCCTCTCCCCAGACACATTTGCCTTCCCCCTCGTCAGCCTTCTCGTCATGTTCAAGCCACACTAAAAAGTAAATGATGCATGTTATTCTTAATCAGAATTACACAACGCCAGAAGACACGTTTAAAAAGTCAAAAGATACTAATGAACGACTGTTTCTGAGAGAGTGATTATTGTTTTACGCCGCGTTTAATAATATTCCAGCAATGTCATGGTAGGGGACACCAGGAATGGGAAATCGAACCGGGGCCCACGGTGAGCGAATTCTTAACCATGAGGTTACCCTAACACTTATGGTGTCTGACGCTGATAGTGTTGCAATATCAGGACAACCTGTACATGATGGAGTCTGGAACAGGACAACCAGTTACTGAGAGGCTGGATGAACCCATCCCCGAAACCCAGGTGTATATATTCCTAGCGTCCCTTCAACCCCAACACTGAAGTGAGTACAGGTAAACCTCGCTTAATCGGATGCATGCTCCCAGTGTAATTGTCCGCAATCCTTTCCGTCCGTTTAAACGAACCCTGGATTCTGAATGTAAGTGTGAGTGAGTGTGTGCGAATGCGTGCGAGCCGTTATGTATGTGTGTTCTTTGACTCTGCACGCAGCAATATTCCTGCTAGATGTCGGCGGTCTGTAAATAATAAAATCTGGACCAGACAATCCAGTGATTGACATCATGAGCATCATTCCAAACAAATGGGATACGATTACATGCAAATCAACCAAGCCACCAAGCCTGACCACAGGATTCACGGGGAGCTGGGAACATCTGCATTCGTATTAATATTCGGAGTCCCCACGAATCGAGCATGGTCTGTCCTTAATGTGGGAGGAAAGCCCGAAGTTATGTAAGTTTCAGACGTTTATGTTACATAAACAACCAAACAATGGTATAAATCAACACTTGTATTACAAATTATTCAATAGCAGTATAAAATGTGAGAGCAGTGGAAATGACAAGAATAATAATCGGCTCTCCGCAACAGTGGTCAAGCTTCCGAGATAGGACAAGGCTCAACATCAGGGTGAAAAGTGATCTTCACACGAAAGCTGGTCTTGATGTGATGTCAGATGAAATGTGAGAGGAGACAGGGACGCGCCCGCTCCACTTGTATAGTCTTACAAGCTTCCAGCACTTTCAACACAGTGCCAGACCAGTTCACTTGAACATCACAGAATATTCCACGTTTCCAAAACGCTTGACATCCACCCATGCTAATCTGGAAGTTTACAGACAACTCGAGCATCTAAGCATAATAAGTATAAGTATAAATTCCTCACCACTACTTACATTAAATAGTACTACATTCCTGACAACTAATCATTGTCAAAATATGATGCAATGAACTTCAACTGAATCTTAACAGAAACAATGTAATGCAGTTACAATCATTATTTAACAATAAATTACACTGTCATATAACTTTTACCACTTCGGTGAAACCCAAGAGCACGGGTATGGTGCTGGCAAACCTAGAATCATAGTTAGGGCGAACTGGGATTCGAACCCACAAAACCTTTACGCCACCGACAGCCACCACAAGAATACAAAATGGTTGGGGCCTAACAATTCAACCCTACTTTTAGTACATTGGTAGGCCATCGATACAAACAGGTGAAGTGAAATAGGGTTTAATGTTGCTTTCAAGAGTATTGCCCATGTTTAGTGACGTGCATGCACTGCGTGAGTGTGGCTGCTTGTACATGTCCGGACTTACGCCATTTGTGTAGAGTTACCCACCATGCCGCGTTTCCAGAAACCCACGCTTGCCGTTACAGGCAATGCTTGTTGTAAGAGGTAACTAACGGGGTCGGGTGGTCAGTCTTGCTGACTTGGTTGATGCATGTCATCGTACCCCAATTGCGTGGCTCGATGCTCATGATGTCAAACACTGGATTGTCTGGTCCAGACTCGATTACTTACAGACAGCCGTCATATCGCTGGAATATTGCTGAGTTAAACAAACAAACCATTCCGCAGTTCAATACCCCAGTCAGACACAGTACTGACTTCGAGCCGACCATGCCTTGTTTTATCCCCTTAATGCCGAGCGTCAGGCAAGGTAACAACAAGTACCACCGCCTTTCAGCTCTCGAGGTAGACACTCCATTCACTGGAGTGAGTGAGTGAGTTGGATTTAACACCGCTTTTAACAGTTACATCACGGCGTGTCAGCTTAATGTGGGAGGAAAGCCCGAAGTGATGCAGATCTCAGACGTTTACCACTTCGGTGAAACCCACGAGCACGGGTATGGTGATGACAAACCTAGAAACATAATCGGGGCGAACCGGGATTCGAACCCACAATCATAGGTTTCTGGCGTGCCCAAGGGACGCAACTCTGCACAGCGAATCATCGCGGCGCCTTAGACGACTGGGCCACCGTGCCGACGGGTCCCATGAAGATTCAGGGTCAGAACCCATGCTTGTCGTCAGAGGCGACCAACGGGATCGGGTGGTCAGACTCGCTGACTTGGTTGATTGATGCATGTCATCGTATCCCAACTGCGTGAATCGATGCGCTTGATGCCAATCACTGGATTGTCTGGTCCAGCCTCGATTATTTAAAGTCCGCCGTCCTATAACTGGAATATTGCAAAATATCCCGACGGCGCGGATAGTTTCTTATGCTCTCAACCACTTGTTTACACGGCTTACAGAACGTCATTAAAATATTTTCATCAGCTTACCCGAAATGTATATTTGACAATTTCACAATTGTCAAACTGATTAAATTAACACTGATTAAATTGTCAAACTGATTAAATTAACACTGACTAAATTGTCAAAGACCTGTGCAGAAAGTTAGAACAAATGTATTCCGTGTTTTTTTTCAACTTGGAGCACTTTGTCGTATGCATGTACCATCCATAAAACAAATTAATGGACCTAAGAAAGGCTGAGGCAATGGGTTCATACAGTCTCCCAAAGGGTTTTGTGTTTTAATGACAAGAACTACCAATACATTGGGGCTTTGTTAGGTCCCATGTTATCTCTCTCCTGCCTCGCAAGGCGGGGTCCCCCGACTGGATGGCTTGTGCTTCTGCGGTAAGATCCCCCAGGGACTGAAACACTTTGTACACTTACATGACTCTTGGCATTATCTCCTTGGCCTTAGTAGTTAAACACGCTTCACTGAACTCCACGAGAGCCTGTAGCCCTATATAAAGACATATATATGTTGCATGTGTCATGTCTGTCTCCCCACAGAGCGACACTGAGAGACTGAACGACTAAGTTCGTGCACCTTGATAGTAAAAGAGAATGGCAGTGTGGTCACACACCAATGCATCTGTTTGTTCTGCGTGAGAAACGGATATCTTTTGGAGATATACTTTATCAAATCGTATAAAAAAAATTGTCACCTGTCGATCGGATTGTAACTTAAGCAGGGACAACAATTTGCTCAGGTGTTGAATGTTTCCTATAAACAGGTGGTAGAGTTACCTCCCCTTCCTGGTTCTGTCAATTTTGATACATTGCAGTCGATTCCTCCTAAGCGTTTACATTTGACAGTTCAGATGCATATGCTAGGTGTTGTATAGCCCGTGACGGTTTGATGGGCAGTTATTCCATGTCTAAACGAACCTACCCGCACTTATTTCTCGCTGCCCCGACAGTGTGTATACCTTCACTTCCGTGTTTTCTTTTCTATCGATTCGGTTGTTAGGTTTATTTTATGAGCGCTTCAACCATTCTCTCCACCAACTCGCTCCACACGCTTGACTGGTTTTCTGCCTCTGTTGCGCACGATACAGCTCAGGAGAAGCATTGGGCCAGCTAGGGGACCAGTCAACACCACACGCTCAGTGAGGCGAGCTGGTTGGGATGAATGCCGCTTCGCTTCAGGTGCAAGGGGCACTGATCTGTGGCTTCTTCTCGGCTGTCTGACCCTGGCAACTGAGGCTCACAAGCTGCCGTGAGTCGATTTGCTCGCTAACGCAACCGAGCGTGACAAGAGACTGGGTTACCGTCTGTAAAGACAGCGTAAACAAACTTTGAGGCAACATTTGTTTTACGCATTTTTGAACACTGATTGGTTACCCGAAAGATTCGAGAAAGGGTGCATTTTAATTTAATTTCTTCAGCCTAAACATTCAGACAAAAAGGACGGCGGAAGCTCATAGGTCGTCATTTGGAAATACTCCTGATGGTTATAGTTCAATAATAAAAAAAAGTATCCCTGCAGTGAAAGCATTTTTGGATTTCGGATTGCGTCGATAATACGATTACTACTCCCTTGTTGTCATCCACGTTTTCTGGTATAACCCTACTCTTGGATATTTGTCGTCATTCACTTGATGCTCAGTAATGAATTCATTACAGGTATAATTAGTGGTAGCACCACTGAGATTACCTGATAAAGTTTCCCATTTGGCATGTCTTGTGTCTGGGGTAATTATTCAATCTAAATCCAGGTGGAAGCGAGGTGAAATGTGTGTTATTTAACATGCACGTGGCAGCCCAGCAAGAGATGAATGATCAGTTGATTTACTTTTTTTTGTAAATCAACGGATCTTTCCTAGCCATCAAAGGGTTAACACAAAATACGTTGGTTGATTAATCACTGTTATCTTGCACAGTGGATATGTCAAAAGTAAGTGTTTACATGTCTAGGTTTACTATAACAAAAGGAATACACTCATGTCATGGCGTGAAGTGCCGATGTAAAAACTACATACTTTGTTCAAAGGGTTAACCGATAAAACGTTGATTGATTGCTCATCCTTATCTAACTCAATGGATCTTTTTTTGATGAACCGTGGACATTATGAAAATAGTGTCACGTGGGCTTTTTCAGCTGACCTTTGAGACTTGACACCTATGTGAAACACCTGAAACAATCTAAGTGATCATTTGAGAAACGAACACGGGTTATAATATCCCGAATCGATACATGCAGATTTTAAAATATCTGATTGTTACAGAGACACTTGACATCGAATAAGTTTCTTTGTACAGCTGCAGACGTGTGGGATATTGTTCCTTTGTGTGGATATTCACAGATACATTCCTCGAACAAGGAAGCTGCCTAAAATTATATATATAAATTTGGTCTGTTGTAATTATGATATTTGCATTTTGTTTTCCTTCATTTGCTGTGGCATTGAACAGATTCATTCTTGTTCCTCTACGTCTTGTTTTCACAAGTCTTTTCCTTTGTAAGCATGTATATATTACATTCAATTTTAAAATGTGATTCTCACAGGCAATTTATAAGATGTCTAAATATTTCAGTCATTTTGACTGAAAAATCTGCCCATTTATGTAACAGATTGACTAAAAATGATTAAGACGGTCAAAAGGGCTTAAAAACATCACAATAGATTAATTATGCTAGGATTAGAAGCCAAACAATATAGAAATGTAGTTTTCATCTTAACATTTTCAGTCACTTGGTGATGATATTAAACATAAAAATGTTTTGAATTCTTTTTCATAATAATACAAATGGACATTTTTCAGTCAATTTGTAAAATAACTGAATATTTAGGCGTTTAATAAATTTTCTAAGTGAAAATTTTGCACATTTTGACTGTAAAAATATAAACACGATAAAATAAGCAATGCTCACGTGAAATATTTACTTTGTGTTGCAAGTCAAAATAGTGTAAACGAAAACCGCAAAATTACCAAGCGCCATGCTGTGTCCCCGAAAATGCCGAGCACGAAGAGTTACAGTATGTTTACCACAGCGAGGTATATGTGGGCGACTCTTGCTCAGAAGTTCATTAATCAAGGTTACATTGAAGGCATCAGTAAAGCTTTCAAAACGTTTTATGGTAGACATGTGGGGGAATTTCCAAATTTGAAGCATCGGTGACCAAAATTATGTCCGATGCAATTCACTTTTACCACATGTTCCCGTGCTTTTCATGCGAACAACTGACCTGCCTGTGCATGTGTTTGTGACGGGCACCATCGGTGGGACAGGATACGCTCTGTATATGATGGTGATTCATAAACACAGGCTCATGATATTGTTGGAATCGTACTATCGACTCTGCCTTTGCAGATATTCTGTTGGACATGGACAGAGTTTTGTCGCTTTATAAACTGAAGCACCACACCGGTATCTACGGAAATGTACCGACTTCTTGAAGGATGAGTGTTCCGTGTTTTACTACCCCACGATGTATTAGTAGTTCTATCCAGATTTCAGACATGACTAGATTTCTACATAAGAGAGGCCGTCAAATCCCTCAGCAGGAATTAATCCCCAGGTCCGGATAAGATTAAGGTGAGTGAGTGAGTGTGGTTTTACGCCGCTTTTAGCAATATTCCAGCAATATCACGGCGGGAGACACCAGAAATGGGCTTCACACATTGTACCCATGTCGTGAATCGAACCTGGGTCTTCGGCGTGACGAGCGAACGCTTTAACCACTAGGCTACCCGACCGCCCCGATAAGATTACAAATGAACATTTTATCTATGCAGGAGAACATCTTATTTTTTCCTTACGTATACTTTTTAATCATATGATGAAACTACAATATGTACCCTATATTTATAGACTTGGTATGGTCATACCAATATATAAGGGGACGAATGAACAATCTGATCCGCGAAATTATAGAGGTATTACTCTCACATCATGTCTCTGTAAGCTCTTTGAAAAAAATACTGCTCAAACGTATAGAAGACAAACTATGTACGCTTAACCCAGACTTCCCTGATATGCTACAGTTTGGTTTTAGAAAAGAACATGGAGCTATTATGTCAGTATTTACTTTGATCGAAGGCATTCAGTATTACATACAAAGGGACTCTGCAGTCTATGCAGCTTTCTTAGATAATGAAAATAGGACATGGCACGATGGATTATTTTACAAACTACATAAACTGGGCAAAAAGGTAATACATGGAAATTACTACATCATTGTTATGCAAATAGTTATGCTTATATTTCCTACCAAGGTGAACAATCAGACAGAAATATGGTTCAACAAGGTGTTGGCCAGGGCAGAGTAATATCTGCTTGGTTTTTTCTTGTTTTTATAAATGACCTCATTACAGCCCTTAGACAAGCACAATGTGGCATTCGTGCATATAGTATGGATATTCCTGCAGTCTTGCTTGCCGACGATACTACACTTATTAGCGCATCACCGAGAGGCTTACAAACATCCCTTGATATTGTACATACATATGCCTCAAGGTGGCGCCTAACATATAATCCATCAAAAAGTGCAATAACTGTGTTCACCTAAGCAAAACGCAAGGGATATAACTGTCATTGTAAACTTGGTAATACACACATTACTACAACTGACTACGGTGTATGGTGGAATACTTCTAACATACAATCTGTCCTGCAAAACAAGAATTAAAAGTACTGTTAGAAAGCAAGACAAAATATTAACTCCCTAAGATCTTTAGGATTAAATAGTTATGAGTTTCATCCAATTTCAAGCGTGAAAATATGGCTCAGAATGATACTCAAAACCAGCCTTTATGGATGTGAATTACTCTATGACATCAAGGGTCAACATGCCGCTCTGTTGGAAGGCACGCAAAGATATTTTGCACGCATTGTACAGGGTCTTGATAAAAGATCTCCTTCAGAATCTACTATTTGGACTTTGGACAATTACTGCATATATAGATAAATACAAACTTTTATTTCTTGGTCGTTTATGCAATCTGAACTATAACAACTTTGCAAAAGATATTTTTTGCGCGTCCATTGCAAGCCCTGTCAATTCAAAGACTATCTGTGGAGAACTTAAATCAACACTTAATAAATACAATCTGTGTCCCTACCTTCGTACATATATACTCAGTACGGTACTTTCCCTCCAAAAATGTGAAATGGAGAAATCGTGTTCACGAAACAATATGCAAATACGAAGAACAATCATGGCTCACAAATGTATCAAATAACGCAAGCATGTCCCGTTATAAGAGAATTCATACGAAATTAACATACCATGTACTTTGGCAATAAGCTTTTCTGTACCCGGAATATCGACCTGCTTTACAACTCTGTGTGAAAGTCTCATCACGCAGTTAACTTTCGAAAGAGTGCATGCTCTGTAATAGGCATGCTTTCGACTATGACAGCCACATTATTTTACACTGTGAAGCGCTGATATCAGAAAGAAATGCGTTTTTCTCTTCTCTCATTGACTTACTTGACGTTCAAAAATATGTTTATTTTGAAATACAAGACGAAACAGATATGTTATCAGTCTTATTTGGGGCTGAAACAAAATTGACTCACAATCTGGAGGGGCGGTCGGGTAGCCTAGTGGTTAAAGTGTTCGCTCGTCACGCCGAAGACCCGGGTTCGATTCACGACATGGGTACAATGTGTGAAGCCCATTTCTGGTGTCCCCCGACGTGATATTGCTTGAATATTGCTAAAAGCGGCGTAAAACCACACTCACTCACTCACAATCCGGATCAACACACCTGGGAAGCTATTATACAACAATTCGCCTCGTATCTGTACAAACTAAGGCATCTTTTGATATATATCTTCTAGTGAATATCTGTCTTCATTTAGGTATCTGAATTTGATAAACTGTGTGTAATTGTAAATATGTTATGTGTTTTTATTGTGTTAACTGTGTGAAATTGAATAATTGAATATATTTTCATTGTAATCTTCGGAATGACATCTGGAGGAAATAAAGAATATCTCTCT